ACTGAGTGGCAAATTCTAGAAGCCATTAAATATCTATGTCACAAATTAGTTGCGGTTTCTGACAGATTGAGAAATGCAGGAGGTCCTTCAATCTTTTCAGACAATGGTCTTTTCTATCCTGTGTATCCCTATGGTCCCCCTAAATTCAGCCCCTATCCTCTGGAAGTCTCCTTCTTTCTACCCTTTCTTTAAGTCCAGTCTAAAAGAACTACCTCTTCAATCACGCTTACAGTCACCTCCTCCTTCCCTCTTGTGAAGGGTCCTAACCAGTCTTTGTGAATTTCTCCAAGATGTTATCCTAGGGTTCTATATAAATGCAAGTTATTGTCAGAAAGGATCTCATTCCAGAATATTCCTGACAAGGACATATTTTTTTCAAAGATAATGAATATCACACTTTATTTAAACACTTTGTTGGGGGAAAGAAGTGTTATATGTAACACATCATCTACAATATTTGTTGGCTAAAAGAAAGAGATCTCGAACTTTAACCTTGGTATGATTGACATGATACAACAGTCAACCCTCTTGCCTATTAATTCTGCCTCTACAACTTTCTACGACAGAGTATTTCACACTTCACAACCCTTTGTATGAAGAAATGGACTAACATCAGTTCTAACTGAAGTAGTTTTAAGTCTATGTTTAAGTCTATGTGCCCTGAAACAGAACCCTTTACCAAACAAAAGAATCAACCACTACTAACCCATCACTTATTTTCATTATTTTAAATATCTCAATCAAATCATTCTTTAAGGTCCTCTGCTTTAAGGGATATACAAAGGGAGTTTTTCCCGGTGTCCTGGTCAACAATCCCCCAGAAAAAAAATGATTATTCACTCCATAGTTGTTTGTGGGACAACTCTGTGAGCAAATTGGCTGCCGCAGTCACCTACTAAATACCTAGGTGCTACACTTTACAGCAAATCCTATGAATAGCTTCAGACGTGAAAGAAGCTATGTATGGTTGATTAATTATGATTATATAATACCACTCTACTCAGCCTTTAATGATAACTGATCTTCTTCAGACCAGGTATCAATCTAATGAAACTGGTCACTCTCCAAGGCTAGTACACCCGTCCAAAGATTGTGTGCCTAAACTTACCACAGTACTCCAAATGAGGTACGACAACTCCGTACAACTTGACCAGCACCTCCTGAAATGCTGTACACTGTCTAGCGTTTTGGGACGTCCTCCCGACATGAAAGGTGCTATACAAATGTAATCTTGTTGTTGCTTTCATTTCTCAGACCTCTTGTTATAAAGGACAGCATTACATTTGCCTCACTGGCTACTTTCTGCATCAACAAACCATATTTTAATAAGCTATAGACTTGATCTATAGTCTTTGCTCATCTATCCCTCCTATTCTTCCCCCATTTAGAACATACTCCCAACTGGATCTTATCCTGAAGTAGGTAATCAGATACATCCAAGTAAGGAATGTGTGTGTATTGCATTCCAGACAAGGAAATTTCCTTGTGTAGGTGGCATGTATATGTGGAACCCTCAGTCTGGGTTGGATGCTCTTAAACCTGATAATCGTTTTCCATAAGTGTCAAAACACCTGGATGACCAAAATAAATTGATACATTATACACCTCCAAGGTTAAATCCAGAAATATCTTTCACAGGCAATACTCTGCACTCTGCTTTCAATGAAGGACAAGGCTAAGTGATGAAAGATGAGACTTGTTGTCAAACCTTGGGAACGTGGCAAGTATATTGTCTTCAACTCGGAAGTAAGCCACGTATACTTCAGATTATTCAAGTGCACAGACGTTGAAGGATCCTGTAATACCTTGAAAAATTCATGAGCAATCTAGTTTGGACATTTGTGACAGATATTAATAATAATACTTGCATTTCATATAGAGTCTAATCACATTGTTGAGACATCTCAAAAGCGCTTCGCAGAATATATAATAAAGTGAATTGACTATTTTGTGGGTGAAACGCAACAGCCAATTGTACACACCAGTGTCCTACAAACAGTCATTTGTTTGAGGGATCATTACCCCCGGAAAGAAATCTACCAATCGACCAACAATGAGGATACTACTTCCTGCCATGTAAACAGAGGCGTGTGGAGTAAGAAAACTTTCCTAAGGTTTCACCCTGCCCGGGAATCAAACCCTGGTCCTCTCGCTTGTGAGACGAGCACGTTAACCATTATGCTACAGGACTCCACATGTGGTGAAGGCCAGTGAGGCTGCTCAGAGTGGCATTGGCATGCATTAGAAGAGTTGAGTTGGTGCGAGTCTACATGCGTGTGGGCCTGCAGAATTTTTTTAAAAAATCAACTCATCTTTAAGCTTTTCATCTAGTCTTTGACCATGTACACTTTTCTCCACCTGTGCAATATTGCTCCTTCCCTTGCTCACCTCAAATGTATAAGAAAAAGCTTAGACACCTCCAGTCTTGATTTCTTCAATGGCCGTCCCTGTTGGCCTTCCTGGCTTCACTCTCCATAAGCAACAGCTTATCAAAAACTTTGCAACACATATCCTTTTCTGAAGCAGATTCCGCAAGCGCATCCCTCCAGAGAGGTGCTATAGAAATGTAATTTTGTATTGTATCCTCACCAGGCTACACAGACTTGTTCTTGTATTCAAACGTTTCCAGCCCGTTTTCTGCAGTCTCACTCCCTGCCCTCAGCTTCTGCTTTGCTAACTCAGACCTGCTGCCCACCCACTCATTGGCAGGATAGCTTTCAGTCTGTCTGCCCTGCTTTCTGGAATTTTTTCCCATAATCTCCCCGTCTCATACCGTCCCTCCCATTATCACATTTCTTCTATAAACCTATCCTGAATGCATCTTTTGTCACTTCCTTCTGACCCCTCCACCTACCACCCTGTCCAGGCTCCTTTCTATGAAGTGCTTTGGGAGAACTTATCGTACATGACAGGCATATAATCAAAGCTGACCATCCTCTTGGGGGTGTGTGCGGTAGTGGTGGTGGTGAGGGGTGGGAAGGTAAAGCAGGATACCCTTGGAGCTGAACTAGCTCTGAGGTGATTTGTTTGGCATCGGAATATCGGAATAGAGCCAACCCTTTGTCCCACTGTGACCACCTCGATTGTCCGCGTTCCGAGCCACGTGGCTCCGCAGGACTCCAGGGCACGGATGATATCTCCGGAATTTCCACGTGTCGGTGGGATGCATGTACTTCTCCGTTTGGCTTGGATACTCTTCAGCATGGTGCTGGATTTCGCATTGGGTCAGACCACAGCCGACCAAATAAAAAAAGAAAGTTGCTGCTGTTATCACAGATCGTTCTGTGATCCACGAGGCTATCGAGTGCTCCAAGAACAATGCGCACCAAATGAAAACGGCCAACAGGTCACAAGGCAAAAATCTCATTGTGCACTCCTTATAAAAATCCTAATCTTAAGTAAACATCCAGCATGCTGAGCCGTGCCCAGTACCGACCATCCACTTAGTGAGGGCTCAAACCCACACTTGTCGAATGTCAAAAGGCCAACTAGTGATTATTCACGAGGGGGTGGTCGGGGAGAGCAAGGTAAAAACAGGGTCTCCTTAGAGCTAAATTGGCTGGTGACATGTTAGGCAACGGACTGTCAGAATCGAGCCAACCCTCTGCGGCGGTCTCGGTAGTCCAGTTCCTGAGCCAGGTGGGTCCATAGTACTCCCGGGCACTCGCATGACACGGAACCTGCCTGATTCATCGGCAGCATTTGGAAAGCTAGTCATGTGAGCAGTGACTCTTCTCACTCAACTCTCGTTAACCCTGCAAGCCAAACCCTAGCAGATAGGGTGGTCCTAGCTGGACAAAAAGCAGGAAAGCCTGCCAGACAGTGCTTTCAATGGTAAGCTACGCAATTTTAGCTGCTTAGACTTCAGCAGTACCCTCAATACATACTCTGGGGTCCCAAGCCTTGGGTCTTGCCAACTTGCACTTAATACTCTCAGGAATTAGGTAAGCAGGAGAGAGAGAACGTATTCCATTCCAATAAACAGCTCTGGAATTTCCATGTGTAGGTGAGATGTGTGGAACTCAGTTTGGTTTTGATACTTTTTAAGCATGGTGATGGGTTGTGCATGTGTCAGACACCTGGCTGATAACAAAAAAGTCCAGCATCATATAACGATTAACAGTGGAAAGCCATCTTTTGTGTGGAGAGCAATCTTTTGAGTGGAGAGCAATCTTTTGCGTTCCTGTAGCTCAGTGGTTAGAGCATTTGCCTTGCAAGTGGGAGACCTGGGTTCGATTCCCGGCAGGGTGAAACCTTGGGCAAGTTTTCTTACTCCATATGCCTGACAATAATCACTCAAGAAAAAAAAAATGATAATAAATTGGGTCACTTCAATCCATGACTGTTTGTGGGACACCGCTGTGCGCAATTGGCTGCTGCTTTTCGCCCACAAATATACAGTCAATTCACTTTACAGTCTAATCTGTGAGGCACTTTCCAACATCTAGAAGACATGAAAAGCCCTATATCAAACACAAGGATTACTATTGTAACTATCCTGAGATAACATTTCTGGACTTCTGATCACTTTCTTGTATCCATGGGACTGGTGGAGCAGTATTATTGAGGCTGAGTCTGATCACTCGTTTCATGACATAAATCAGATACAGGTACAGTATTGGGAGATCTTTTGAGTGAATAGCATTAGCAATTACTCTGAACTTCATAATAAGAGCACATTGTGGAACATATGCAACAGTTGAAAAACTTATACTCGGCTCTCACTTACTGAAGAAGCGTGAAAGGGTTGTGACATGTATAGCTGAGCTCAGGGGGTGTTACCCCAGCACCTGACTGACCTCACAGCGGCAGCTGCTGTTCACCCACGGGGTGTGGCGGAGGAGGACGAGGTGGTGGAGGAGGAAGAGAGAAGCAACATCTCGCCATGACCCGCCGAGCAGCGGGAGGGTAAAAGTTTCAGCAGAAGCGGAGCCCCCAGAGGGCCCCGGGCCCCCCGACTGCCGCAGAGCGGCCTCCCTCGCCCCCCCTCCCCGGCTTACCTTCATACTGCAGGTCGATGAGGACCAGCAGGAACGGGAAGCACGAGAAGGCTTTGGTCAGACAAGCCCGTGGGGCGACCATTGCCGGCTGCAGGGCGGCTCCGCGGCGGCCGTTTGTCTCCCTCTGTCTCGCGGGGCACTCGGGAGCAAGTGGGGCGACGACGCCTGCGCGCGAGAGCTCGTCCGTCAGCTCGTGTGCTCGGCGGCGCGGCGCGGCGCGCGGGGGGGGGCGGGGCCGTTTGCGGCTTTCAGCGTCCACTTCGCTCCACGCCACACAGCCGGAACGAATCGATCGTGGTCTCCCGTGATTGGACGAGCGCACATTGCGGCCACACCTGCAGCGAGTCGACCGTCTCGCTCCTCATTGGTTGAGCTTGCCCGCCCCGCACTTCCGTCGGCACCGCGGCCTCCCCACCCCCGATTCTCTGCTCTGATTGGACGCCGAGCCACCACGTCCCGCCTCTGCTCGTCGCGGATTGGTCACTGAACACCAGCACCTCGCCGCTGGCCGTCGCGCCCAACGACGTGGAGCCCGGTCATTGGCTCAGCCAGCCTCGCCCCAGCCACTCAGCAGCGAGCAGCGCGCTCGGGAGGTTTGCCGACCAATCCCTCTTCACTCTTTTGACAGGGAGGGATTGGGATTTGCATTTGTTTTGCCTGTTGATCATGTGTGGCATATGATGAAATATTTTTCAGTGGAGATAACCTTTCAGGTAAATCCGTGAAATGCGTTGCCACATCCTGCTGGCACAGAAGTCACAGCATCAAATGGGAAGGGGGATACGTGTTTGAATGTGTGATGGAGGACATGCCCTGAAATAATAATAAATAATAATCCTTGCATTTGATATAGCGCTTTTCACGTCAGGAGGACGTCCCAAAGCGCTTCACAGAACACACTGTAAAGTGAATTGACTGTATATTTGTGGGCGAACGCAGCAGCCAATTGCGCACAGCAATGTCCCACAAACAGTCGTCGATTGAAGTGACCAATTTTTTTTAAGGAATTATTATCCCCGGAAAAGCGATCCACCAATCAACTATCAACCGGGTTCCTACTTATTGCTGTAAACAGAGGCATGTGAAGTAAGGAAACTTGCCCAACGTTTCGCCCTGCCAGGGATCGAACCCAGGTCGCATGCTCTAACCACTGAGCAACAGGATCCAAAATGGTTAAAACCTCGGAAATGCTGTGAGGGATAGTTATTGTGACAATCTGTGACATACTGCAAAACCACTTAAAAACATAAGCTGTACATTTGCACGGGGTCATTGCGAGGATCAATCTATTCTTGGTCCCCTCTGTCTCATATTCATGCTCCGTCTTGGTGATAACAACAGTATAATTACATTTGTATAGCTCCTTTCACATCGGGAGGATGTCCTAAGGCGCTGGACAATCAGTGTTTCGGACCTGAGCTGGGGGTCGGGATTAGAGAGGGTGGAGGCCATGGGGAGAAGGCGGAGGAACTGCGGGATAGAGTTCCAGAGAGGGGGCAGAGTGGCTGTAGGCCTGCCCGCCAATGGTGGGACAGGCAAGTGGGATGTGAAGCAGGCTGGAGCCTGCTGAGCAGAGGAAGCGGGCAGGTTGGTAAGGGCTTATGAGGTTACAGAGGTAGGGGGAGCCAGGCCATAGAGGATCAGGATTTCAAACTGTATCTTCTGTGTGATGGGAAGCCAGTGGAGTCAGGCGAGGATGGGGGTCATAGGGTCGCGGAGCCTGATGTGGGAGAGGACATGGCCTGCAGAGTTCTGGATCATTTGCAACCTATGGCCGAAAGGCAGGGAGTTTGCGTGGTCCAGCCTGGATGTTATGAATGCATGAATGAGGGTCTCGGCAGCCTGCGGTGAGACAGTGTCGGAGCAGGGGGATGTTGCAGAGGTGGGGGAAGGCAGAGGTGGGTCATGACACGGATGAGGGGTAGAAAAGATAATTGAAGGTCAAGCAAGACATCAAGGTTCCCGACTGGTTCAGTGAGGTGGAATGTGCATCCATGGATGGTAATACTATCAGTGCCTGAGGTGAGGAGGCGCTGACAGGTGACAATCAGGAGAGCCTCGGTTTTGTTGACGTTCAACTGAAGAAAGTTAGCTGTAATCCAGGACTCGATGTCTGTCAAACATTCTGTCAGGACAGCAGTGGTCCTGGAGTCAAGGGTGGAGGCAGAGAGATAGAGTTGAGTGTCATCCCCATATACGTTGAAGTTGTGGATGATATCACCAAGAGGGAGCATAGATATCGAAGAGGAGGGGACCAAGGACAAAGCCTGAGGAATGCCGCACGAGACGGTCCGGGGGCTAGAGGAGAAGCCATTTGTGAAGATGAAGTGGAGGCATGATAAAATAATCATCATAATCCTTGCACTTGATATGAAACCTTAACAAAGGCACGATAAGGCTGTACATCAAATGCCAGGTTTATTATTATTATTTTATTATAACTGCAGGTTCAACAGGAATCAGTTCAATGCTTCTCACCTCAGTGGTAAGTTTTAATGTTTCCATGGGCCTGGTTAAACCACATGGAGTCTCCCTCCTCAGAATTTGTTGAGGCCCCGGAGTCTCCTCGTGGAGTCCTGTAGCTCAGTGGTTAGAGCACTCGCTTTGCAAGCGAGAGACCTGAGTTCAATTCCAGGCAGAGGGCGAAACCTTGGGCAAGTTTCCTTAATAATAATAATAATAATCCCTCCAAAACCCAAAACAATAACAAATTGCACATTTTCAATCTACGACTGTTTGTGGGACACTTCTGTGCACAATTGGCTGCCGCGTTCGCCCACAAATATACAGTCAATTCACTTTACAGTGTGTTCTGTGAAGCGCTTTGGGACGTCCTCCCGACGTGAAAAGAGCTATATGAAATGCAAGGATTATTATTATTATTATGTATTACTTCGGAGTCTCCTCGGGTGGGTCGGGTGGCCAGAAACAGAAGTTTTAGCTCAAATTCAACCAACACTAGTCCAAAGTGGCCAAGTATTGCACGTTGCCTCCTGTGGGTAACAGAGTGGCCAATAATTTAGGTGGATGTTTGCGAAACTGTAGGAAAAGGTCGTGGGGAGTGGGGAGTGGGAGGGAGGGGTTCGTTTTGCAGGTTTAAATGAAAGATTTAATGAAATAGACACCCGCCCAAAGGCGTTTTTTTCACGCGCAAAAAAAGTGAACCTATCCCTCAGCCCAGGCCCAGCCCCGACCCGCCCGCCCGCCCGCACCGGACTCGTTGCCTGGTAACCGTCAAACAGGAAGTGACGGCGGCGCTGCCTGAGCGGCGGACAGTTTGAACCTCACAGGTGGGAGAGGCAGCGGCACAGACAGACAGACAGACAGACACTGCTCCCCCCTCCCCCTCCCCGCGTCCAGGTACCCCTACACCTCCCCCCCCACCCCCACCCCCACCCCGAGCTGGCGGGGGCGCAGCAATTATCCGCTACACCTACAGATAAGAGAGTGAGTGAGTGAGTGAGTAGGAGAGAATGGATATGAGTGGGTGTCACATTGTGTGAGAGAGTGGGGTGAGCCTGTGTGTGTGTGTGAGAGTGTCACATTGTGAGAGAAAGAGGTTAGTGTGTGTGTGTGTGTGAGAGAGAGAGAGAGAGAGAGAAGGGGGTGAGGGTGTGCATGAGAAAGTGAGAGTAGGGGGAGTGTGTGTGTGTGAGAGAGAGAGAGAGAGAAGGGGGTGAGGGTGTGCATGAGAAAGTGAGAGTAGGGGGAGTGTGTGTGTGTGAGAGAGAGAGAGAGAGAAGGGGGTGAGGGTGTGCATGAGAAAGTGAGAGTAGGGGGAGTGTGTGTGTGTGAGAGAGAGAGAGAGAGAGAGAGAGAGCCTTGTTGAGTCCTCCCTCAACCGTACTCCTCCTTGGTCTCCCCAGTTGCACCATCCATAAGATCCAACTCATCCAAACCCCTACCATCCCACACCGTATGTTCACCTGTACCAAACGCCACGCCATCACCCCAATCCTCTCTGCCTCCGAAAAGATTGATTTCAAGATGCTCTTTCTCTCATACACATGCCCTGGCACCTCCCTACCTCGCTGACCTGGCGCCATCTCCAACTGCTTTTTCTGCCCCTTTCACTCAGCTAATACAAGCCTATTGGACATCCCCTGACAACTCTGCACCACCTTCAATGACCATGCCTTCTGCTACTTTACCCATAACCTCTGGATATCCCTGCTTCTCACCCTCTTTATAATTGCAAATTATTGCTGTGTTAGTTGATGCATTGCTCAATATGTCAAAACAATGTGAAGCAGCAGTAAACAAAGCAAAGATGCTGCTGGGTTATACTAAATGTTTTCAGTCCCCAGTTATAATACTCAAGCTAAATTGTGCTCTGGTCAGGTTGCTGTTGGAGCACTGGGTACAGTTTTTGACATAAGGGAACAACAACACCTCAGGCCCTAGAAGCAGTGCAAAGGAGACCAAGAAACATAATCCCCAGTGCTAAAAGGAATAAGATATGAGCAGTGATTAGACAGGCTAGGATTCTTCGCAACCACAACAAATTTGTATAGGGTCTTTCACATTGGGAGGACGTCCAAGGCGCTGGACAATCAGTGTTTTGGACCCGAGTTGGGAATCAGGATCAGGGGGTAGGGGGGTAGGGGGTGAAGGAGGGTATCAGGAGGGTAGGGGGTGAAGGAGGGTGATCGAAGGTACGGTTGAAGAGGAGGGTATTGAGACGGGATCTTGAAGGAGGGAAGGGGTGAGGCAAAGGGACTGTGGGATGGAGTCCCAGAGGGTGGGCATAGAGTGTCTGAAGACCCACCCACCAATGGTGGGACGTGAGGCAGGGGACGTGAATCAGGCTGGAACCCACTGAACGGAGGGAGTGGGCATGTTGGTAGGGGTTTAGAAGGTCACAGAGGTACGGGGGAGCAAGGCCATGGAGGGCTTTGAAAGTGAGGACCAGGATCTTGAACTGTATCCTCTGTGTGTTGGGAAGCCAGTGAAGTCGGGCGAGGATGGGGGGTGATAGGGTCAAGGAGCCTGGTGTGGGAGACGACATGGGCTGCAGAGTTCTGGATAATATGCAGCCTATGGAGGGAGGAGTTGGGGAGGCTGACAAGCAGGGAGTTTGCATAATCATGTCTCGATGTTATGAATGCGTGTACGAGGGTTTCGGCGGCCTGCAGTGTGAGACAGTGGCGGAGCTGGACGATGGTGCGGAGGTGGGGGAAGGCAGAGTGGTCATGGCAGGAATGTGGGGTAGAAAGGATAGTTGAAGGTCAAACAAGATGCCAACGTTCCGGACTCCTGAATGCAGAATTGTTAGCTGGGACCTTACAGAGCTTTATAACATTTTTAATGGGATTGAGAAAGTCAACCTGGAACAGTATGTTCAGATGCATTGAGACAACAGGACAAATGGACATAGATTTAGGGTTGCAAAGAGTAATTTCAGGACATACATACACTAGAAATTATTTACACAAAGGGTAATTAACAGCTGGAATGGGTTATAAGGAAGAGTGGTTGAGACCCAAGGCATTGGATTCATTTGAAAAATGACTTTATGCTTAAAATGGAGGAGAGTAGGTTGGGTACTCTGGGAGGATGTGATCAAATACGCCAAAGGTTCATCCAAACTTCTTTTGTAATCTGAATATGCTTATTAGTATAATAATAGTAATCTTTGCACCATTTATGTTAGGAAGATATCACAAAGCACTTTATATGATTTACTGTAAAGCATAATAACTGTTTTATTGGTTAATGCAGCAGCTAATTTGTACATAGCAACATCCCACAAACAGCCATGACTGAAGAAAATGACCAATTTTGTCTGGATGATTATTTGCTAGGACATCGGAGAAGTTCCCTTCACTTTTCCGATAGTGCTATAGGAACTTTAACAAACACCTTAATCACAGTTTTAGTGTCTCCAAGAGATGGCACCACCAACAATTCAGTTTTCCCCAACTCTCAATTGGCATGTCAAGCCAGACTGAGTTCAGAATTCTGACATGATCCTTGAACTCACACCCTTCTGTTTCAGAGGCAAGATTGCTACCGATTGCACCAAATCCTTCCCAGAAGTAATATTTATTTTCTAATGTTGTCCAGACCCTGTAAGTACTGTTTATCATGAAATGAGAAAAAACGATAATGAGAGATTTTTAGCTAAAACAGCTGTAGGCTGAAATATCTTTACACAATATTTTCACAACTGGACTTATTATCAACTAAAATATTTTGATTCTGTCATTATAATTCTGTGTGTTTTTAATGTAACTTCATGGGTGTTTGTAACTGAGCAACCACCCAAACTGTAGTAATGTTAGTTTTGCACTTATATTTCATCATTTCAATTTATTTTTAAATTCCAATTGAAATGGATTATTTGAACTTGGCATTATTATTACTTAACAACATAACTAGTATTTATATAGCACCCTTCTCGCGGGGTAGCATCCTAGAGCACTTCACAGTGGTGGAGTCTGACAACTAGCCAGAAGGAGAGAGAGTGGGGAGGTGACCATCAGCATGGCCCAAAAGGAAGGTCTTTAGGCGGGATTTGAAGGTGGAAGGAAGGCAGAGGGATTGAGTGAGAGAGTTTCAGAGTTCCGCAGTACAGTGGCTGAAGGCACAGCCAACGATGGTGGAACGGAGGGCACAAGGAACAATTGGGAGGCCAGAGCCAGCCGAGCAGAACCAGTGGATGGTGGAGTGGGGGGGTAAGCAGGTCGGATAGGTAGGGAGGTGTGAGGGAACAGTGATTTGAAAACCGGTGAGAGGATCTTGAAATCGAATATAATAATTAAGCGTAGTAATTAGCTTGACGAGCCCTTCAAACCATTGAAAGCCTAACACCCAGTACATAATTCTGTGCATGTACTTTGTTGCGCCTGTGTAGAAATCTCATGAGCCTCCGCCAATGTCATTAGGAGCATAAAGTACAGTATAAATCAGCCTTCTTGCTCCATATTGCTCTACTGCTGAAAATGATACTGCTTTATTTCTAGCATTTTAATCGAGACATATGATAAGCTCTGAGGCATTTCAAACCATTAAATTTGCCCCTCGGAACTTGCTTTCAAATCATTTCTGATTGCAGTCGTTGATTATTTTAAAAATGAAGCATGGAAGCCACTTAAAGAAATAGAAAGGAGCTTGAATGCCCCACAGTATTACATTTAGAAAATTGTATATTCAGAGAAGTCTTGCCTTTCTTTAAGAAAATCACAAGAAATAAATGGTTGCTTTGTGATATTTTGCTGTATATGAAATAGACCTAACATGAATATTGATACAAAATGCTATAGGTTTCAATTCATCTGTGAAAAACCTCTGTCTCCCCTATCACATTTGTTCTACCTGTTTGTACAATGCCTCCAAATATTTAATAATAATAATAATAATCCTTGCATTTGATATAGCGCTTTTCACGTCTTCTAGACATCTCAAAGCACTTCACAGAATATACTGTAAAGTGAATTGACCTTATATTTGTGGGCGAATGTATGTGAGAGTCCAGTAGTAATTTTTTTCCACCTGTTTTGTACCTTCTCGGTCTTTCACACAGAAAAAGGAACTGTGTTTATTCCCTCAGTCAGCAGTCTGATTCTGCCGTGGGTGATTTTGCTTTTACTCAGCTGTATTGATTATCACACCTTTCCTCTCTGCTTATTAGATTTGCTCTGATGTATAGGTTAATTTTAATCTCTGCTGTTTTCTTTCTCTAGATTTTGGATGCTTATTTCCTCCAATGCGATGTTTTATTTATTTTGTAACTATTCTTTATGTCCGGATTGGATTTGAATCCATTTTTATTGATATAAGTGTATTTCTTCATTGCAGAGGTTTGTAGCTATTAGTGCAGTTTTGGTTACCATGACAACAAGAGGAACCTCCTGTCAGAATACAGAGCAGCACAAGGGAGAGGAGAACCAAATGAAATAACTGCAGCAGCAACAGATCCCTATAGTCTTGACCATTTCATCGCTAATCATCAGCAAAGAGGATTTACACAAAAGCATGGTAAGGAAATACAAATCACCAAGAAGCACAAAGTAGATATGAGGTAACCAAGTCACATTAGTGAATTGATGTTAATTTCTTTGTTAGTTTTAGCATTATTGCAGCTTTTGTTACAATTATTACCAATAAATAAACACATAACATATGTTTAATTACATTTGTATTTTTATTCGTTACAGAAAATTGATTATATATTTTTGGAAATGATGTGTGCTTTATTTTTAATGTGTCATTTCATAACCTCTCCGGTCCTTTTCTGTTTTCACGTTCCAGGATGTGGTTGATTGGAATGTCGTCATTATACGCTTCCGACAGTAAGCTTTCAACCAACATCCCACAGCAGTCTTCCTTAATAGCAGATATGTATGGAGTTCAGTATCCACCATTTAAATTCAAACATCGGCATGAAAGCGTGGACTGGAGGAGAATCAGTGCCATTGACGTGGACAGAGTGGGGAGTGAACTGGATTTTGTCACCTTGCAGGAAAACATAATGAACATCACTTTCTGCAATATGGATTCTGAAAAATGTCCTTATTGCCAAAATCCACTGGATCCTGTTCTGCTGAAAATGTTCAGGTTGGCGCAGCTCACCATAGAATATCTTCTCCATTCTCAGGAATACCTCACATCTAATTTACAGATTTATGAAGAAAAATTGCAGGCAGCTGATTCTGAGAAGGAGCAGATTAAGAAGGAATTTTGCAAATTATCTGAAGAAATTAAATCTCAGAAGGAGGAATGCAAACGTAGAAAGCAGATAATTTCTTCCCAGCAGATGATGATTCAGGCTGGAGCCAATAACTACCATAAGGTATGCAATCTTTAAGAAACTAAGTTCTTTTTATCCTGTTTTAAAATGGCAGATTTGTAAAAAAAAAGGTATTTGTTTATTGGCCACAAAATAAATGTCAGACATTCTGAAATTTAAAGCCTGATTAGAAATTAGGTTTTTGTGCCATTTTGTAATTGCTTTTGGTATTTGAAAAGTGGATGGAAATTGTTTGAACGTTTAATGGAAAAGGGTGCATCTGGAAATATGTTTTTTGTTTGTATGTTTATAAAATTGAGAAAAATTATATTTAGAGAGCCAATAATATGTTGATAGCTGGATTGAAAATGGACTCTGGAGGAATGCCTGATATCTTAAAGATTTTTTTATCTTTACGACCTTTTGTTATATGTGATTGCATGGTTTTTAACCATACTCTTCTTTTCTACTCCAGAACAATCTTTCTTTAGCAGGGACCTAAGATATCCCCACTTCGATTGCTTTAATGAAGTCATAATGGGCTGTTATTTCACTTCCTTCAAATTCATGCTTTCACCTTTGACTGATCATAATCATGAGGGAGTCTGTTCTCCCTCTTCATTTTTCATTTCTTTTGATATTTTTATTTAGAAATTCAATCACATCAGTTGTCTAAATTCGTCCATCTCTTTCAATCCTTCGTATCTATCCTACATTGAATGCTTGGTCTTCCATTCTCGAGTTTAATGCCAAAATTGTTGTCAAACGTGCTGATGAGGTTGGCACAGCCATTGGAGTAAGAATCTCCATGTGTCTTGAGCTCAAATGGCAGCTATCTTCTTTTCTTTCCATTTGTCTCAATTATAACTGCATTAAAACAGCAAATCATTTCCAAATGGCAAAGTACTGCAGATGCGGAGGAGGCCGGACCCAGTAGAGTGGAGGCAGCGGGTACTGCTGTGGGGAGAGAGGAGGTTAGAGAGATAGGAGAGTGCCAAGAAATGGAGGGATTTAAATACTAGAGTGAGGATCTTGAAGTCGATCCGCTCTGTGACCGGGAGCCTGTGGAGTGTTATGAATGAATAAACTGGTGCACAAACTGTTGCCACCAGAAATGGCAACAGTTTGTGCACCAGTTTATTCATTCATAACCTGGAAGACACCATAAGTCATGTATTTTCCGTGTCTCCACCCTCAATCCTTCGCTCCCTTCCTCTCCCCCACAGCAATGAAAATCCTGCTTGTTGTTTTTCCATCCCACAAAGTTCTCTGGATCTACTGGATCCTCTTGAATCATTTATTTCTACATTGTGATTCAGTAATCATGCACATCTTGCCTGTCAGCAGGCTCATCTTCTGCAACTTTCATTCTTCCAACACTGAGTGCTTCTCCAGAGGCACTTTTCTTTTAACCCTAGAAGCTGCACCACCTACCCTTTTACTTTTTCCTATATCAGTCAGCAGCCAAAAACACAATTTCCAAGTGAGACTGTGATTGTTGTGTACCTTCACCAATCTCACAGAGTTTATTAGTTATTTCTGTTGCAACCAAGTGCAATCTAATCAAAACGGGTAATCTTGCAAGTATTTGACCACAAAGTATTGTTATATAAACAAACCGCAAAATACTGCCGATGTTGGAAATCTGAAAACAAAAACAGAAGACGCTGGGAACACTCAGCAGATCAGGCAGCATCTATGGAGAAAGAAAAATGAGTCAATGTTTTGAGTCCACGACCTTTCATCAGAACTGCTGAGTGTTCCCAGCAACTCCTGTTTTTGTTTACCAAGTTTTGTTATGTTTTGCCCAACATTTGATGCAATACTTAAACATGAACCTCACTTTCCTGTGGTTTGCCACTCAACTTCCCCAGTCTGTGCCTTCTCCTTCCTTTGCTTCTGATATGAGTCTAACTAAACCTATTGAAAACTTAGAACTGATATCTTGTGTTTATCTTAATCACTCTGTAGCTCTTGTCCAGCATGGAGAGCGCTATATAAACACAAGTCGTTGCTGTTCTCAGCCCTGAACACTTTTTAACATTTTCAAACTTGTTTCCACCAAATTGAGATTCCACTCCAGTTTGCTTTCTGATTGAGTTGTAAATGTCATGTATATGTAATTTATTTGCATATATATTTTATTTGGAGGATTGTTGGCCTGGATACTGGGAGAAACATCCTTGTCTTTTTGAATAGTGCCATTGGATCTTTACTATCCACCTGAATTGGCAGATGAAGCCTTGATTTAACATCCAATCCAAAGGATAGGTTACCCCTAAATGTTGATGTATATTTCCTGTTAGATGTTAATTACCTGCTGTGGATTTCCAACATTTTATGTTTTATTTTGTGGTTCTAGCCTTCAATTTTTATTTGTATCAATTACTTTTGTTCACTAAAAGCAAACACTTCCTTTTAGTTGTCAAACATACTATTGTTATTTCCATATGATTGAAGTACGAAGCAAAATACAAAAGGTTTTGCAAAAAGAAATTTTAGTGTGCAGTTTCTAGATTTTTTTTNAGGAAAGTGAAATATCTATCAGTTATTGTGCAAGTAACAACATTCCAATACAAAATTACATTTGTATAGCGCCTTTCACGTTCAAATGGAAACTGAGTATGTCCTTTTATTAATCAATAATAATAAGGCATTTATATTGCATATTTCACATGAAATAAACTAGATTTAAATGAAAGCAATAATGAGCATTCAGGTGCATGTTTTAGTCTCCATTCTATTCGGGAAAGCCTAGATATTCAGAAATGTATTTTTTTCTGCTTGTTAATCAGGCTTTCCAATGTTTTCAGGCATTTTCAGCGTTCATTTATTTCAAAGGTATAATATAGGAATAACAATATTTTAAAATGTTAATTAGTTTGTAGTAGCAGTGATTTGCATTGAACTTTCTAACTATATTTAAGTGTTTATTTTGCCATTAAAACAATTTAGTTATGCTTGCAATGGTAACTAATTTGCAAGACTATTTGAGATACCATAATAAATTTTGGTGTTCAGGACCCTCTATAAGTGACCTAGCAATCTGTTGTGGTTTCAGTTGCATTGTTGCTCCTGGCAGTTGTTCTGACATGGTTGTTTATTGCTTGAGTGGATAACAACGTTTCACAGACGGTTTAATTTGATCCATTGGGAAGCTACTATTTTAAAATTGAGAAATTAACCGTAAAATATGTTTCAACTTTGCGTGTGTGTGTGTGTGCATGTGTGCATGCGTGTGCAGGAAATTTGATTACATCTTTCTGGATCTACATGAATTAAATATAAAGTCATTCAGTATCTCTTCTGATATTCATAATTAAACAATATGTGGAGTCCTGTAGTTCAGTGATTAGAACATTCGCCTTGCACGCAAAACACCTGGGTTCAATTCCAGGCAGGGCAAAACCTTGGGCAAGTTTCCTTACTCCACACACCTAATAATAATCCCTCAAAACTAAACAATAATAAATTGGTCATTTTCAATCTACAACTGTTTGTGGGACACTGTTGTGCGCAATTGGCTGCCATGTTTCGCCCACAAATATACGGTCAATTCATTTTACAGTATATTCTGTGAAGCGCTTTGAGACATCTAGAAGACATGGAAAGCGCTATATCAAATTCAAGGATTATTATTATTAATAATACTTGCATTTGATATCGTGCCTTATCACGTCTCAAAGCGCTTCACAGAATATACTGTAAAGTGAATTGTCTGTATATTGTTGGTGCGAAAATATATATTCATAACACAGGATCAAGAGGATGCCATTCAGCATATCAAACCTGTTTTGCAATGCTTTAATATAATATTATTTGCATTTGAGACCGTGACCAATCTTTTAATCCTTCTTCTCCGTATCCATTATTTTCTCAGTAGTTCCCTAGTTTCCCGGTACTCCATTATAAAGTGCCTCTTATAATAATTATGGTTTGCTTATAAGGTGGGTGCTCTGTGGATCTGTGGTTGGTTTGGGTGCACAAATTAGCTAGCTTTATGCTGAATTCCAAGTCATCAGGTTGTCACTAATATCACTTATACATGTACAAAGTTAGACATATAATGTCTGAAAATCTACCTGGCTTTAGCGATTAAACCAGTTTTTCTAAAAATTAAAGAAAAATTAACCCTAATCCTAATTCAGTCTTAATTTGGAAGTTATTTTTCCACAGTTCTTAAAAAGAACTGAGACTGGTTTGACAGGATTAAGACAGAATTGAAGAAGTTTCTGCAATACTGTGTGATCTCAAATTTAAGACAATATGGTCTTACAGACTAAATTTAGGCAAATGTCATGCCAGTTGGAATTAGTGCAAATGTAGTCTGAAATCAAACAGAGAGCCACAAGGGGGCATTGGTGCATATTTGATAACATTTGGTGTCTGATAGTTCTCTTCCTTACAATATTTATTTCAATGATGCAGTAAGAAACATTGAAACATAACTGGAGTAGGACTTCTTGGTTAGCCGAGTGTGTTCCATCATTGTATTAGATTGCAGCATATTTTGTTGTTCTATTTTCCCATTTTATTTTCTAGCAGATCTTTTAAATCTTTTAATTTCATTTCCCCACCTTTTGCCTAAACTGTATCTTGTAATGTCCTAGCTTCCCAAGTATTGATCAATCTCTCATGCCCGCTGGTGTCTTATCCTATAATAAATTATGTGCTGTTACTTTTCACCAATACAGAAAATAATGAACTGTTTATTGAAAGCCTAGCTGGGTATAAACATGATTTGACTTCTTTGATTTTCAGTGCCAATATTGTGACAAGTCCTTTATGAGCCATTTTTTTAAGCAAAACCATGTTCAGCGTCGCCACCAAGAGCAAATTGATGTTGGTGAGTACTTTACATCAGTCATTCATTCATACAACTTTTAAGTTATCAGGAGACCTGGATAGCAGCTGTGGCCCTGGTGTGTTGCACTCTTAAAAGGGAGAGTCTTGTTCACTTATCCATTCACCTTGCTACAGAGCATCTTCAACAATATAATCTAATTAGCTATTTAAGCATTTGCACATTTGACATGCTTAAAGTACAGATTTAATTCTAGTGAAGAACACACCATTACATTTGAACTGTCTTCCTCTTCAATCATTCAATGTCCAGAAAAAATGAGCACCAATCTGGATAAGTGAAGATTCCCTTACTAGATTTGTTTTATAAACAAATTGCAGGGTTAAGGGGTAAGAGCAGGGGAGTTGGACGAGTTGGTAGCTCTTTCAAAGAGCCAGCACGATGGGCCGAATGGCCTCCTTCTGTGCTGTAAGATTCTATGAGGGAATTTGTTTATATTTTTGCAATTTTATATGAACAGGGTATCAGAAGAAAATGCAAACTGATAAAATCCAAGATGAGATGGATCAACTAAAAAAACAACTGCTTCAAACTCAGTCACAGCTAGAAGTTGAAGAACAGAAGTACTCTAGAAAAGAATTTCAGGTATAATAAACAAAATATTCTGATACTGCATGAGCTTCTTTCTGATGGGTCATCGGCAATCTTGAAGCAAAATTTATTCTGTTTCATTGCACGTATTACATTTTATGCATACACATAGACCAGGTGGGATACACTCTAATATTGTTGAGCGAAACAAGTGAGGAGATTGTCAACTCTCCAGTTTTATTTTTAGAAGTTTGAATAATACAGGGCTTGACAGTTGGGTAGATCTGTGGACAGTTTGAAAAATGTGAAATTTGGAGCGTGCTACTTTCAAACAATATTAATACATTGGAGAAGATGCTGAAGTTTGAAAAGATTGACTTCAGGACTGAACCCTCTAAAGGTATGAGAGAGACTCATAGAATTTAATCTCCTTATAATAGATAAAAAAGAGGACATATAATCTTTGTATGTACAGAAATGGAGAATCAAACTTTGATAAATAATTAAAATTGGTTTAAAAGTTTTTTCCTCCAATCATATTGCTGTGGAAAGACTAAGCAGTTTAAGGAAGTGTTACTTTCAATGTCAGCACAAAGTGGCAAAAGCAAATGAGTTTCTGGAGTTATTCTGAGTTCTGTAAAGCAATGGTAACACCATACTTGGAGGATTGGTCAGTTTGTATCACCGCATCAAACAATAATCATTGGAGAGGGCGCTAAGAAAAAACAATAAAGCTAATTAGTTTGTGTAAAGGGTATGAGCAACAATGAAACATTTGAGCTTTGCAATCTAGAAAGAAGACAGTTGAGGGTGAATCATATTGAAGAAAGTAAATGGTGTGTTTATATGTAGATTCAGGAATCAGAGGACAACATTTTAAAGCAGATTTTAGAAAGAACTTTTTAATGCAGTGCTAAGAACTTTGAGTAATCTGCAAATTGATTATGGTTGCATTGAAATTGGATGTTTATATTGGATTAGTTAGGTTAGTATAGAGTGATGAGCTGTTTATGATGGCTTTAAAGTATTACAAATGTTCAAACACATTTTGTTCTGTGTCTCAAGTCAATTTTCTATTGGTATTGATTTAAATAATTGATAAACCAAAACAAAATGGGTTAACGATGGGGTGCAAACATAAAGGCTGTGCATTGTATTTGGCTGAGGATGGTAAAAGTATCATTGTGGGAGAAATTCTACTTTCTTTCCTGCACCTAATGTGTTACCATTTTCCATTTCTAGATTTAGTTTCTTGATTTATTTTAGGAACTTGAAAATAGAGCAATGAAAGAAGAAGAAATAAAGAGGTTTGAGAAGTGGAAAGAGGAAGAGAAAAAGAAATTAAATGATGAGATGGAGAAAATTAAACAAATGTTTATTGTTGAGTTTAAAGAAATGTCTGCAAAGAATTCTGCACTGGAATCAGTAAGTAATTTGGTTCCACTTTTCCAGCAGTTTTGTTTACTTTTCATTCAATTGGATGTGAAATTCTCACTATTATGATATTAAAGAATTTAGTATTTATGTATCAAATACTCTGCTCATTATAGAAATTAATCCTGTGATTTTAAAACAAATTAATTTGTTCTTTAAATGCTTGATTCTAAAATTTAATACTGCATACTATATTCTATGTAAATGGGAATCAAACCCCAACAAATTTTACTGTCAACGTTAGAAAAACTAAGAAGAGCATTTTTTGTAAAGTGAAGCAGCGTCTTACAACTCAACTGCTGAGTCTATTAAAAATAATATTTTCTTTAATCCTTTAATCAAATACATTTGTACTTTTAGAAAAAAATTGCACGCATACTTTTTAAATTCAGTTCATTCACTACAAAATTAATTTTATATCTATTCTCTGCCCATAATCTTTCAGACGTCTCAAACACTTGATAAGGCGCTATATCAAATGCAAGAATTATTATTATTGACTAACGTTTCACCTATTGCTAAAATTGTGGTGTATAGATCCTCTATTTGTTACATTCACTTTCAATAATACTAATAAACCTTGCATTTGATACAGTGCTTTACCATGTCTTCGAGACGTCTCAAAGCACTTCACAGAATATACTGTAAAATGAATTGATTGTATATTTTGTGGGTGATATGAGGCTGCCAATTGTGCTCAGCAGTGTCCCACAAAGAGTCATGGACTGATTGACCAAATTATTATTATTTTTTGTTTTGAAGGGATTATTACCCCCGGAAAAGCAATCCGTCAATCAACTAAGAACCAGGTTCCTACTTACTGTTAGGTGAACAAAGGCATGTGGAGTAAGGAAACTTGCTCAATGTTTCGCCTGGCCCAGGAATCAAATCCAGGTCCTCTCGCTTGCGAGGCGAGTGCTCTAACCACTAAGCTACAGGACTCTTTTGAACATATGCACTCAAGGAACTATTTTGGCTTCCAGTTCTGAGCCTGAAATAGTGTCAGTTCAGTTAATAAATATATCTTTGGATCTTCACTAAACTCATTTCTTTGCTCTTCTATGCTACCCTGTGTGAGGGGCTACATAAATGCAAGTTGTTGTTGTTGGATTCTTTTAAAGATGGACTTTCGAGGAAAATGATCCTTATATAATTTTTAACCTTAATTACTTCAAAACCTTTACTGAAACTTTACTAAACTTACTGAGCCACTTTTTTTTCTTGTATTCTGTTCTTTCATCTATAACTTGATTTGAAAATAATTAAAAAGTATATACTGTAGTAGAGTAGAACATTTTTGTATTTACAATTAAAAAGTTAGGTCAATTGGATATGTTTGCTATTCCTCCCAATTGTTTGCCATGATTGAAACTTTATAACATGTTACTTTATAACATGGGCATGAACTATTTTCAAAATAATGACTAATTAAAAATTCAGTCAAAAATCTTGATATTCACAATTCTATTAGTTTGTTTACATATTATACATTACATTATTATCCTTTATAAGGAGCTGATGCAGATCAAGAGTACAAGTTTGCAGCTTAATTTGAGCCTTAGTGCTTTGAAAAATGAGCATGAACATGAAATTCAGGAGGAAAGACACCAATATCAACAAAAAGTGCAAGAACTCAAGGAACTTTTAGAAAAGCAGGTATAATGCTTGTCTACTTATGCAATTTCACACTTAAAATATTTCTACTTTGGAGACCTAATGTTACAAAATGCTAGATTGCTAAATTTGTATTTGCAATCTTCCCAATCTGTGCTGTACCATCGAGTGTTGCTGGCCAGCTCACCATGGGCTGCTTCGCACACCCCCTAATGGCTGGTTACTAATCAGCATTTGCCAAGATCTAGAACATCTTTTGATGGAGAGGATTTCTTTGAATCAGGACATGTAATGAAAGAATAAATATCAGTTTAAAAAATAAGCCCTAGAACATATATCATGAAACCTAATCACAGTATTGCAGTGTTTCTATAGCACTTTTTCCATAGGATTAACTCGCTGAGCATTATTACCATTTTTTGCATGTTCAAAGTTCTGGGAAGATGTAGCAGTTACCCTTCACATATATACTTTCCTCATTTGTTTTACTGAGGGAAGGTTTTATAGAAATGCTCCCTGATCTTCATGAGTAATAAAACCAAACATCCAGAATATTTAGCGTCACCTTATCTATCCTATTTAGATGATCTACCCCATTTCACAGGTAAGAGCATCCCCACTCACCCGCTTATCTCGTTCTAATTTATCCTTGGAATGAATTATGTTACAACGTCATTGTGGTACTTTCTGGACAAACGGTAATCAATAATAAGTATTCCATTTCATAGTGCAAAAATTGCTAAAGCAGTAAAAGTTTATTGTGCACAAAATGCTAACTTATTTACTTTGCACTTACATATAAAATGTGAATCAGTTTATGTATTCAAACTTCTCAACATGCAAATTGTAAAATGCTCAAATCCTGAATGACCAAACAAATATCAAATGGGTCACAATAATCTGTGACAGGGGATCAAAATCATTTCACTTTTTTGAAACACTGTTGCTATGATCCCGAAGCCTTCATCCAGTAAGGACAGGTGTGGCAGTTTTGAATTTGATGTTGCGCGTAGGAATATAATGTCCTCGGGTTGGATTTTAGAAAGTCAAAATTCTTAACTCTGACTATTACACTTCAATTGCTAAAAACACTTGTTTGTATGTCCGTATATGCATATTGTAGACTTCTATGTTTATAAACCTCTAGAATGGATAAAATATTTTTTGTGGATGTTCTCCTTTCTCGTTCCTCGTTTGCTTTCATTGTTCACTACATGTTCTTTCGTTGTTGAATTCTAAACTGTTTATGTTCTTTGTATTTGATAATAACTCTTCTTGTTGACTCTGTTCAGAAAAACAGAATAGCATTTGAAAGCTAAATCTAAGCGGAGAGTTAAACCAAAACAAAAAGTTGTGGTGCTAATTGCTAGGTTATGTCTTCCACCGTAATGAGCTACAATGTGATTTTTAAAAATATTTTGGTGCAATCGCTGTGATCTTACAGAAGAAGCACTTTCATATAATTCCTTTGATATCTCGTATCTTTATATCACAATAATCTACTGTATAATGTGAACTGCAGATTAACCTAACCCACGTAGATGTAAAATGTTTGTTTGCTGCTCAGTAATGTTATCATTATGTACATCCTTTGAAAAAGAGTATTTTTTTGCAGTCCACTCCAAATTTGTAATCTACCAATTGATAATCATGTAATATTTATATTTAAAGTAGAAAAATGTATACAGTATCTTATAATCGGGTGGTTGATTTTCTTTCTCCCCAATAAAGTTGTATTTTTTCTCAAAGATCTTCCTGATTACAAAAGTATTTGTAATCTATATCTAATGTTAAATTGTACTACTTGAAATTCAGTCTACTGTTACATTAATACAGTTAGCCTTCTGAAAGCAACCTTAGAATCCCTTATTGTTTCGCAGCAATTCTATATAATGATTTTTTTTCTGTCCATGTGAACAAATTAATTTTCAATGAGAATATATGATTGATCACATTTCAATTCTCTGAAAATAATTAAAGACTTGGAAGGAATTTAACATGTTTATTAATGTTTATTACAGCATTCTGGCCTGCTTCCTGCAAACAGTTGCTCTTGAATCTTTAGTTGTATAGAAGCCATTTGTTAATTTTACTTAGTGATTCCCGTGTTTGTCGGACACTAAAAGGTGTTGTTAACTGCTGTGCTGGGTTGCAGAACCCGGACTTTGTTTTAATCTTTTGGATCTGGAGAGAAGTCCTTATGATGTACAATCCACTTCCTTGTGCAGTCAGATGCAGATTAAAATCACCTATTGTAAATGTTTTACTTGATGTTTGTGGGCCTTTGCTGTGCACAAATTAGTTGCCACGTTCATCTACAAATACAGTCTCTGTACTTTACAGTAAACCATGTGAATGAAGCACTTTAACACATATCCCAATATGAATGGTGCTATATCAAATCCAAAGATTATTATTATTTAAGGGACTAATTATTTCAGAGTTTGATGTCATGACTAGTTTGAAACTATTATCTGAAAACAAGATTGTTTGGAAGAAAGAAGGCCCTTTGGCCCATCTGATCTAATTCTTCCAGAACACTTTACATTACTGTTCCTCCCCCCCTCCCCATCATAGTACTTGTCCAAGATGGAAACACAGTTTATGAAATCATCACTATGTGTACATTGGTTTTAACATTGATGCACTAATTTAGTTCCATTTTAGATCTGATCACGAGTGTAATAGTGTATGGTGACAGTCGATGTGTTTAGTGTGCTGATGATTCATGATGACTGCCAGACTGAGATGTAATCACTGCAAACCGACTGAGAGATAATCCATTGTTCATAATAATAATAATAATCTTTGAATTTGATAGAACACCTTATCACGTCGACGAGATGTCTCTGGTAAATCACACAATGTTTATTTGTAGTACTTACAAATGAGAAATTTAATATGATTTATTTGTCATTTCCAGGAATCTAAGTGGACTTCAGAAATACAAAATATCCATGAAAAACATGACAGTGAGAAGCAAACGGTAGTTGTTTTTTCTTTTTGATATCTGAAATATTCATATTAACATAGAGATCATATAACAAACCATTTTACATGTATGTAGCTCTTTTCACGTCAGGAGAACGTTTCAAAGTGTTGTTGCTGTTGTTATTGTAAACTATAAAAGGTGCCAAGATTTTTCTTGACAAAGAATCTAGAAAATGCCCTTTGTTATTGTTTAGTTACATGTTAATTTCATTTATTATTCACATATTTCATATGTTCTGTAGACCGCCACATACTCATTATCTCATTAAAGCCAAATTCCCAGGTTTTATCAATAAATCTAGGGCTCTAGCCTTGCAAAACTCCTCTCCCTAGCGTGGTTGCTAAGTCTGGCCACCCTGTCCTGTTCCCAAGTTAAAGGGCCACTCACATTTTGATTCCTAATTCTCCTAATTCTCACTGGGTGTATCTGCAATCAGCAGATAGTGCTGCCCTCAGAATGTTTGTGTGCTGCTAAACCAGCGCTAAAATAATCACACAATTCCTTTTACTACTTAACTGGCTGCTAGAATTTCTCCCCTCAGAACTCTAAATTAGTCAGTCAGTTTTCCAGACATCTTTACAACAACAACAAATTACACATGTATAGTACCCTTCACGTCGGAAAGACTTTTACAGTTTGGTACCTTTGACCAAAATTAATTCCTTGAGATTTTGAGATTTTGATAACCACTAGTTTGAATGGAATGATTGATGATCATCAATCCAACAATATTTGTTCATAAAGGGTAGACTTATTAGTTATTGTGTTTTCCTTGGTTAAAAAGTTACTTGCTAGTGGGCAAGTCATAAACATTATTGTGCTCATGATTTTTTTGTTGCTTACAAATTCTATCCTTCCCCAATAGGACAAAAATAATTTTGCTTAATTCTATGATATTCTATTTGTGGAACACAGATTAGGACTACTATTGGAAATGCATATATTTTAAAAAGAAAATTAATAAATCATTTGAAGCATTTTTTTTCAATTGAATTTAAAAACATGCTTAGGGGAGGGAGCTTCTTCTGGTGTCCTGGCCAACAATCCCCAAATAAAATTGGTCATTCATCTATGTGACATTGCTTTGAGAAAATTAGCTGCTATGTTCACTTACACATATATCACTGTAATATCCTGTGAAGCGCTTTGAGATATCTCGATGATGTGATGAAATGCTCTTTCAAAGATAATATTATGCTTATTACATCTAGATGGCTCATTTGATAATACCTCTTCACAGTAAAGACTAACAACGACAACAACAAGTTACACTTATATAGCACCCTCCACGCAAGGTAGAGTCTCAGAGCGCTTAACAGTGGCGGAGCCTGACCACGAGCCGGGGGGGGGTGGGGAGGTGGCCGTAACCACAGGTGAAAAGGAAGATTTTCAGGCTGAAATTCAAAAGGCGGAGAGGGCGGGCAAGGATTCAGGGAGAGTGTTCCACAGTTTTGGGGTGTAGTGGCTGAAAGCATAACCTCCAATGGTGGTGCGGAGGGCATGAGGGACAAGCAGGAGGCCGGTGCCAGTCAAGCGAAGGCGCCGGATGGTGGATTGGGGAGTGAGGAGGTCAGAAAGGTAGAGAGGTGCCAGGGAGTGACCGGATTTAGTCACAAATGAGGAGCCAGTGGCCAGAACTAGTGAGATGGGGGTATGAAGTTTGATCTGGATAAGTATGCGGGCAGCAGAGTTCTGAATGAGCTGGATTTTTTTAATAGTGGAGCTGGGGAGACCGGCAAGGAGTGCATTTGAATAATTCAAGAGGGAGGTGACAACCACATGCACGAGGGTTTCGGCTGCATTTGGGGTAAGGTACGTTCGGAAATGAGCAATGTGGCGGAGGTGGAGGAAGGTGGTCCTGGTCAGAGACCAGATGTGGGGGATGAAGGACAGCTGGGGGTTGAACCGGACGCCTATATTGCACACTGCTTCAGTGGAGGTTGAGAAGATCCGCAGGATTGAAGACATTGGTGGGAGCCAAGGAGTACGGCTTCCGTCTTGTCCACATTCAGCTGAAGAAAGTTTGCACTCCTCCAGGCCCTGATGTCTGCCAGACAAGCTGATGAAACATCGGCGAACCTGAAGTTGATGCTGGAAGAGGCAAAGTATATTTGTGTGTAATCCTCATACGTGTGGAAGTTTACCCCGTGTCTGTGGATGACATCGCCAAGAGGGAGCATATAGATGAGGAAAAAAAGGAGGCCAAGGATGGAACCCAGGGGTACCCCGCTGGTGACCGGGTGGGGGTGGGTGGAGAAACCATTTGCCGAGATGAAGTGGAGGCGGTTGGTTAGTGGAGTGGAGAACTCGAACCATGCGAGTGCGATCCCACTAAGGTAGATGAGGGAGGAGAGGGGTGGAGGAGGATGGCGTGGTCGACTGTGTCAAACGCAGCAGAGAGATTCAGGAGGTTGAGGAGACAGAGGAAGCCCTGGTCACAGATAGAGAGGACATCGTTTGTGACTTTGACAAGCGCTGTGGGCCGGGCGAAAACCAGACTGTAGGGGCTTGAGGGAGTGGAGGGAAAGGTGTGACCGAAGTTGACCTGGAACAATGTGTTCCAGGACTTTGGCAAGGAAGGGTAGGTTGGAGATGGGACAGTAGTGTGAGAGATTAGAGGGATCGAGAGTGAGTTTTTTGAGGAGAGGTGTGATAACAGTGTTTTTCAGGGGGAGTGAAACGGAGCCTGAGGAGAGAGATTGGTTGACTGTGTCAGCCAGCAGGGGAGAGAGGAGGCGGAGTTGAGTGACCAGCAGCTGGGTGGGATGTGGGTCGGGCCAGCAGGTGGTGAACTTCATGCGGGTGATTGTGGTTGAGAGGGAGGAGGGAAAAATGGCGGCAAAGGAGTGTAAGGAGGTGGAGTGGCAGGAGCCGAGGCAGAGGGAGAAGGTGGTGTGGATGGTTTGGGTGGCGTGGAAGGGGACATGGGGTTGGAGGACGATGCAGCCAAGTGGATATTTTCAATCATTAGGCGAAGAAGTCTAGGACCTCTTACCAGGAAGGCTCCAGATTTGATCTTTTATCTGCTGAGCAGGTGAACTCAATAATGGGGCTAAACCTGGCTTTCAGAAGAATCAGCCAGGATTTCCTGTTTTAATTGCTCTTTCTGTAAAATCCGCAGACATTAGGTGATGATACAATCAAGCTGTGGGTGTCTCAGTAAACCACTTCCTGAGCCAGGAAGATCCGCAGTACTTCAGGGCACTGCTGATGAAAGCTCAGCCAGCCTAGCTCATTGTCACGACCTGGAAAGGCAGATCAGTTACTGGGGCCAGTGCCCACTCTCCCCACTCAGCTCCTGTAAACCCTGCAAGCCAATGCCCTAATGGGTAAGCTGGTCCTAGCTGGAAAAGCAACAGTGCTTTCAATGGCAAGCTATGTGTTTTCAGCTAGTTAGACTCCAGAGTGCCCAAACGCACACTCTGGAATGGTTGGCAAAAGCCAAGTCTTGGCAATTGGCAGCTAATACTCTCCAGAATTAGATAAGCAGATGCATCCCTCCAGGAAGAGAGTACACATTCCATCCAGTAACCATCTCTGGAATTTCCATGTATAGGTGGGATGCATGGAACTCTATTTGCTTTTATTTCCTCCTGTGTCAGACACCTAGCTGACCAAAAAAATTGCAATCGAGCTTACATGTGATGCACTGCATTGGTACAAAGCTTGATCACAGGCTATTGTCCAGGCTAATAAATTAATTTTTGTAACTCGGGATTCCAAGATTGTAGAACTGTACCCCAGTATGATTTGGTGCAGACAGGACAGGAGCAAATTGCCGAAGTTTAAGCACTATTATCAATTTAATGCTTTATTTGCTTTTGATTTGCAGCTCCAGCTTGAAATAAGAACATTGATGTCATCCATCAACAAAAAACAAAAGGCAACCGCCTGCTACTACAAGAAAAAAATTAAGGAGCTAAGCCAAAAGCTGTATGATCAACATCAACTGATAACTAACCATGGAGAGGTTAGACCTTTCAGACTAAGTATTAACACATGTGTACATATCACCTTGTGCATGGTCAGTTGGGGAGTTTTAAGCTTTGCTGGAAGACCTCTCTGGATGGGGTACACGTAATAGGACTAGGCCTATTGCCCAAATGTTGAAGTAACCAATGTTGTTGTTTGTTCTTTGTTTGAAGCGGATATTTAAACCGAGATTTTTTACAGATCTTTCTCATGCAAATTAAATTTCCATAATTGTTTATGTGGGGAGAAGTTGGAAAGTCTTCTTCCGGACCAGGCTCTGTGACCCTATCACCCCCATCCTTGCCCAACTCCACTGGCTTCCCATCACAGTTCAACTGAGGATACAGTTCAACATCCTGGTCCTCACCTTCAAAGCTCTCCACGGTCTTGCTTCCGCCTACCTCTGTGACCTCCTACCCCCTACCATCCTGCTCTCTCCCTCCACTCAGTGGGCTCCGGCCTGCTTCACGTCCCCCGCCTCACTTACCCCACTATTGGCGGGCGGGCCTTCTGCCACTCTGCTCCCCACCATCTGGAACGCCATCCTATAGTCCCTCCACCTTGCCCCTTCCCTTGCCACCTTCAAGACCTATCTCAAGACTCTCCTCTTCGACCGTGCTTTTGATCTCCCTGCTTCCCCCCCCTCCCCTCCACTCTCCCCGACCCCCAGCTTGGGTCCGTAACTCTGTCTGCAGCACCTTGAGACGTCCTCATGACGTGAAAGGCGCTTTACAAACGTAATTTTGTTGTTGTTGTTGATGAGAGGGCACTGGTTAGGGTAAGAAGAATAACTTTAAGAGGGGCACACAGTGGTTCATTACATGGAAGTTATTCAACACTTGGAATGGGTTACCAAGATGGATGATTGGGACAAGGGGACTGAAGTTGTTTAAGAAACAACTTGATGCAATAATGGGAAGATGGTAGGATTACTATTGTTGGAGGATGAAAGATTGTAGCCTCTCACTTAATAAGCATACATGAATAAAGTTGCTACGCTGAGAAGCAGTAGTTTTTCCCCAAAGCAATTAAATATGCAGCTGAGTTTATTCATAGAAATGCTTTTGTTTTCAGGTACAAACATGTGCCATAAGACCACCAAAGAAGATACTGGAGCTTTCATGTAAGCAGAGCTACAATCGATATACTACATGTTAACTTATTTTTGTACAAAAAAGATTTACAGATGGAATGCAATATTATGCTATTCTTATAGATATGAAATGACAGAAAGCTACCTTTATTTTTACTTCAATTCAGAATTTTTCACAAATACAAGTTTAATTTTTTTTAACCAAATGGTATTTTTCTTTATGTACTCCTCAATCTATGATTAAGATGCGATATGAGCATTAGAGGAAAAAATAAACATTTCAGGTTGAATCCAATAACTTCCACGTACAGGAGCATCTTCCACATACAGGAGCTTCTCAAAGCCCTTGAAAGATTTAAATATGTAGACAAAACACACAACAAAGATGGGTTTGGGGAAGTTTTTAAAAGCAGTAGGGAGTGTTAGTAAGGGAAAGTAGTTTTGAAAGAGTTCCTGAGGACAGCGACATTGTAGCTAAAGGCTCAGTCCCTGGAGATGAAGCAAAGGAAGAAAGATCAGTCAAAGCGGAGAGAATAGGCTTCAATGTTGGACTGAAGAGAATTACATAGGTGAGTTGAGGCCATAGAAGAATTTAAAGAGCAGCTAAAGGATCTCAAACTTGATCGTCTGAAGTACTGGGAGCCAATGGAACTTGGTGAGGATGGGGATAATGAGTGTCTTTTGCACGAAAAAAGTTCTGGAACAGTTAAAGTTCTGGAGATTAGCGCTACGGAGGATGGTGAGGAGGAGCATTAGCAAAATCCATCCTCAAGTTAAAGTGTGGATGAAGGTTTCAGTAGCAGATGTGAGATAAGGCAGCCCTTTTATTCTGAAGGTAGAATGAAACAGTGTTGGCAACGGTCAAGGGTTTGGGACTCCATTCAAGATTAGAAGAACACCAACTGTGTCTTGTACATGATGCATCATTACAGGCAGTTATTTTCCCACCGTTATTAGCATCAGTCATAACAAAAACTACTTTTGCAGAGCCTTTCAAAGTGACTTTTTTTATGGAGCTATTATTTCAAGTCTGAAAGGTTTGTAGTTTTATGATGGCTGCATTTAAATCTCTTAGAGGGTGGAAAATAATCTAAATAAACTTATTTATATTATTATATAGATTATTTAACTTTTAAGACAATATCATTTCTTTGAAACTATTTAAGTGTTTTGCTCAAACTGCAGGAACACTAAAGATCAAACTAAAGCATCAGATTGTTATGTCAAGCCTTGATTTAGGTTGAATCCTTCATAAATTCATCAATTAACATACTCTTTCCAGTTGTTCTTGTGTACATGTTTTAAATGATTAAGTCCTAGTCTAAGTATATGATAATAGTAAGCTAATTTGGGGCACAAGAGAGATACTAAATGCGTCGGGAGGACTAGGGGGGGCAGACTGGTCACTGAGGTCAGGGATTCTACCCACTCAGCTCTTGTTAGCCTTGCAAGCCAAATGGGTAGTTTGGTCCTAGCTGGATAAGTGGGAAGCTGGCCAAACTGTGTTTTTTTTATGACAGGCTGTGTAGTTTTAGCTGGTTACCAGTACACCAACACACACTCAAGCCTTAGCAAATTTGACTCTATTGCCAATCTGTGCCTCATACTCTCTGAAATTAAGCAGACATGGTCCCTCCAGGAAGAGACCTAAATTTTCATTCCAGATGCATGGAAATTCCCATGTATAGGTAAAGTAGAAGGACCGGAAGAATGATTCTGAAATATAAAGCTTAAGTTATCAGGAGAAGTTTGAGGTCTGAAATAATTTTCAGTCAGGGCATTGAATGAATGGGATTAAGCGCTCAGAGACGCCATGTGACATGAAAGGCGCTGTATAAATGCAAGTTGTTGTTGTTGGGATGAAGTTCATGATAGATCAGGAATTATGTTGTTTGTGGAAGGAGCCAATGTGGTGGATCAAATGGCCATTTATTTTCCTAGGTTTCATTATGTCCTTATGTTTAGTTTTTAGAAATATTAAGAACGACTGGTACACTTAAAAATAAAGAAATTTGATGTTCTTGCCCATCTTTACAAAATGAAGAGAACCTTTCAGAACGCTGCTTCTAAAAAAAGTATGAATCAAAAATGGAACAAAAGAATAGCATAGTCCTTTACCAGCAAAATGATTTTTCTTGAAGCTTTTATTTGACTGAGCAACATATTTAGAAACAAAACCAAAACATAATTCTTCTTAACTTTTTTATCCATATGTTACAGCAATTATTACAAATCTTCCACAACGAAAATCCTTAACTAAAGGTAAGTAAAGGCTAAAATAACTTTAATGTTTAAATTGGTCAATCAACTTTAGTTTGTTTACAGTTAATATATTTGAGCTACATTATTATAATCTAATAATTTTGTGTTTAATGAACAAATACCAATTGAGGATGAAATTATAGTCTAAAGAAATGTGTAGTTATTAGCTCTTTGTCCATGTATTGCATTTAATTTTGTTTTGAATGTTTTACTGGTTAGTTTATACAAAACTTTGATTCTTCATTTCATAACTTTACATACTGTGTTGAAGCAAATTTTACCTGCCTTATGCAGATGAGGGGGAAAAGTCACTTGCATAGTTCAACTGGCTTACTTAATAGTTAAAGTTAATAATTGTCTGATTATAACTGTTGGTACATTCCTCCTATTAATAGTTATTCGAATCACTCAGCAAACAAGTAAACACAGTCAAACCTGTTGATTCGAGGGGATTCGACTAAAGTGGCCTTTATATAAGGGTGGCCTCTGATTAAGGGTTCGTTGGTTCATTGATTGGGCCCTAATTTTTTTNGAAAAATTGCTGCAGACCAAAAATTTCCGCAGAGCTGCCTATAGACTGGTAGTGCATTTACCAATGCCACCTCACCTGTGAGACAGGAAGCTGTGGGTATCATGTAGGTTGCTCAGCAGGGCATCTGTAAATGCGCTAGGAGTGTTATACTCAGATGCGTGGAAATTGATAATGAATTACTGGTAAGTACACTTAAATTCACTTAGAACTGGCCACTGAAAAGGGCTAACAAAGTGGCCATTTGTGTCAGACAGGTGCTTCCTGAATAGATGTGGCTTATTGTAGAAAATCGGTGGGGATTGTTCCAGGTTGCTTGTTGACAGTAGGTTGCTGTTGAATAGAGGTGGTTGCTTTAACATGTTTGACTCTATTTCAAGCATAGCAACATTCAAATGGTACTAAGTATTTTACTAATTTGGAATATCCATTCCCTGACTTGCCTAGTTTGAATGAAATTCTTTTTCTTTTCAATGATTCCCTTTCTGACATGCCAGTCAATGGCTTTTAACAATAACTTTTAACTTAGTTTGTTCAAATTTGTTACATTTGGCAGTCTGCTACTTAAATCCCAGTTCATTGAATCAGTTGCATCTTATGGGTAGCATTTATTACCTCTAAGTCCTGAGGGGTTTCTTTGTTGTTAGTTTTCTCCTCTCCTGAAGACTCTTGACTCTTGCTGATATGCAATTCCAAAGGAAACAGAAGCCCTCCAATATCAAGATGTTTTGAATTGTGTTGAGTGGTGCTTAGTGATGAGCATACACCTAATAATTGTCTGCATCTAGGAGAATCTGTTAAGATCAAATCTAACTGGTAAAAAATCATTCAAAAGAGGCAAGTCTCAAAATAATTGATAATAGAATAATTGTTTTAAATGAAAACATTAAATACAACTAATAATACATTTATAAGAATTCATTCTTATGATATTTGCAAATACTATAAGAACAAAAGTGATATTGATTTATGTGGCATACAACCTCTAATAATAACGTTTTTGTTACATTCCCCTTTTTGTGCTGCCTTTCACTCTTTCGTCATTGGTTGCTGCTTGGTTGAACTTTAGAGCAGGCTGCGTCAACGTTGGAATCTATAGAGGAACTTTGTGAAGATGAAGGTAAAAATTAATTAAGTCAAAAGAAAAAGTGTACATTAATAGTCAAATTAGGAACTGTTGTATATTTGTTGTATATTGATGATATAATAGAAAATCTATGCAGAAATTACAACCATGAACTGCAGCCTTCCTCTACTAAGAGAAGTTCGATCCAACCACATTAATATTAGAGTATGACTGTACAACGCATATTTCACTTTGAGGATGATATTTTTGTAGAAGTAATTTCCATAGACCTTCATTCCTGCATCAGCGATTTGCCTCTTATCTATTATAACTGCATTTTGCTGAAAATAGAGCAGAATAATAATGCACAATTCTTAAATCGTGCAAAGGCAGCAAAATATTATTATTTCACTATATTCTTCCTACATAAAATCTCATGTAAGCATGTGTAAGTGATAACCAACTTTTCAAATATCCAAATACAATGCTTATTTAATTTCTTTTTTTGTTTATTTTTTAACTATCGGTTTCTGAATTTCCTTTATTGTATAATAACCAATTTGCATTATAGATAATTAACTAGTTCTGTTTTAATTAATTTATCATGCTAAGAATGTATTAATATCTTATATTTTATTTATGTGTTATGTGATAGAGCGCAGTGCTTTACAAAAACAGCTTAGAACAATTAACAGCATAAATTGGGTTGATAACTTGTTCTTGTTGATGATTCTTAACAGTTTGGTTCTTAACAGTTTAGTTCTGTCAAAGCCACATTGGAGCAAATTTATTTAAAAAAGGCTTTTGATCAATTAAACAATTATAATTTGAAGGACATCTTTTATCTGCATTAAAACAATGCATTGTAACCTCCCTTCTCTTATTCCATTCTTATTCTACCAATAGTTCCCTTTACATAATATAGCTAAACTTCTCTTCACATGAACTTTAGTAACTTTATTTGGTTCCTATTTGAAGAAAAGTAAAATTAACTTGTCAAATTAAGGAAAACAAAATATATGTTTTTCAACAAATTGCAACCAAACTTTAGTAAAATAGTTCTACAACAATTTTCTTTTCAGAGATGAAAGAACTGATGGAATTGTCAAGGTGCAAGAAAAACCTTAAAAATGTTTTGAAGCAAAATCCATCTGTAGCCAAAGAGCTGCGTAAAATCTTAGAGCACAGTTTGGAAGAAAAATTAGAAAACCTAGGCATAAAGTCAGTAAGTATTTGTAGCTAGGTCACAAAACTTACTTGGGCTTCTCGTCTCACCTCTCTGTAGTCAAACTGTCATTTATGCTTTTGTCATTTCAAGGCTAGATTTCTTCAACAGTCTTGCTGGCCTTCCTAGATTCACACTCTATAGTCTTCACTTTATCCAAAGTTCTCTTCAATGCCAGGCTCCACGGACCCATTATTCCCCATCCTCAATTGGCTCTATTGATTCCCTTAAACCCAACTGTTTGACTACAAGATCTTCATCCTTCTTGCTCTTTACCCCATTCTTCAAAACCCTCTTAAAAACACCTTTTGTTTGTGCCTTTGGTTGATACTGTCAAATTCCCCCCTTTCTGTCCTGGTTGGTGACCCCATTGTCTATGAAGTGCTTTGAGACATTCATATATGAAAGGCACAAAAAATGTGCAAATTGTTGTTGTGTGAATGTGCTATGTACTTTTTCCTCCCACCACCACCCTCTTCCCGCACAGATGTTTTCCTGTTTTGAAGAGTTTGGACACTGCATTAATCTTAGACTGTAATATGTAATTATTGTCATTAACAAAGAATCTTCCTGTAACTAACAATAAAGATAAACCAAGTTGACCAGTACAAATCTAGTTTTGTAATTGATTAATTTAATTTCTGATGAATCTGAGCTAAAAAAAATTGGTCACTATTCTTATTGGCTCTTATTTGAGTCTCAATTTTTGTGTAGTGATAGATTTATCTTCAAGACTGTCAACTCTTAACCTTAAAAAACACAAAAAAATCTCAAATTCATGTTTTGCATCAATGGTTTAGACATGATCTGGTATTGAGTCTTTTTTAAAGAAAATGTAAAATAATTTCTAACCGCTTGTAATGGATAGGTTTGTCTCCTTACGTTACTTCTTCCCATTGTATAACTGAGGTTTAACACTTGATCTTGGCAGACTTGGCTGATTTCAGCCTGGCAGCAATAGACATAGACAGAATGGTAAAATGGGCAGACACATGGCAGATGAGTTTCAATGTGGAGAAATGCAAGGTAATGCATTTTGATAGAAAGAATGAGGGGAGGCAATACAGGCTGGTAATACAATCTTAAGGGGAGATTTACGAGGATGGTACCAGGAATGAGGGACCTTAATTATGAGGAAAGGCTGGAGAGGTTAGGATTATTCTTATTGGAGCAGAGAAGGTTACGAGGAGACCTAATTGAGGTCTTCAAAATCATGAGGGGATTTGATAGGTTAGAAAGGGAAAAACTGTTTCCACTGGTGGGTGTGTCGGTGACTCGAGGTCACAGATTCAAAATAGTAACTAGAAGTAGTAGAGGGGAGGTGAGAAGAAATTTTTTCACGCAGCGAGTTGTTCGAATCTGGAACGCATTGCTTGAAAGGATGGTCGAGGCTGATTCAAAAACTCCTTTTAAAAATGCGGTGGACGGGTATTTGAGGAGGACGGGTTTGCAGGGTTATGGGGAAAGGGCTGGGGATTGGGATTGACATTAATTGCTCTATTCAAAGAGCCGGCACAAACTCAATGGGCCGAATGGCCTCTTTTTGTGCTGTACGATTCTATGATTCTATAATTCTATGTAGACATCATGGGACATTATGGCAGGGGAAATAATTTAGCCTACATTCTAGTTCTTTATTGCTATTCAATCACTACTGGTGAAAAGTGCAAGTGTGTGTGGGAGCATCGGGAATCAGGCTCAGCTGTGATGCTCCTGTTGAAAAACAGTATACTTTTCACTGACCAGACTTGCATATCAATGGGCACTGGTGAGGTGTGAAGAGCAGCTGGCAACTATAGAGATACACCCCAGCTTGTCAGTGCCTTTGGGAGAGCAAGGGGAATAAACAAACTATCATAATACAACTTACATTTCAAACGAATAGAAAGGAAAATAGACATGAATTTAGGTCAATGATAATATGAGATACATTAATTTTCTAGGATGTTCAAGGTATCTCTGAAGGACGACTGTCAAGAATTCTTCAAACTGTTGACTCCCAAAGAGAAGAAAAATCAAAATCAATACCAAACTTCTATCTCTTTAGAGAAAATTTGGCCCATGAGGTCGAGAATAAGATTCTTCAACAACATTCCCCATCTTCTAAGATAATTAAGACTTGTAGTAAACGATCAACATCAGGTAGGGTTCATGTACCAATCTTATCACTAAGATATGTAAACATTTGAAGCTGTTACAAATTGAGGTATTTAATTGCACAAAATTATGTTTTATTTTAGAAGATAATTATTTATTTTGGTTTATTTTTACAAGTTTTCATTGTTAGTACACCTCAGGTACTTATATGGAAGGATTATCACTATTATGATTATTATTATTGCATCGTATTTAAAATGGAATTTCTCATTTCTAAAGTGTGAAATCTAAAACTTACTGGCAGAGGAAATACTGTATATAGATTTCCTTGTCTTCATTGATCAATTACTGCACTGAATCTGTTCTTCAATTTTAATTAATTCCAACATTTTTAAAAAAATGTAATTAGTAAACATAATGATGTTGGCTGAACTAATTTGAAATATTTGGCATTATATTTTCCATCTTTATTTTTCTTCCTTTTCTTCTCCCAGTATTTCCTTTAAAACATTCTATTTTCCCCATGAAATTAGTTTTCAATGTTATAACACTTCTGCCCTTGTAGATCTTCATTGTGAGTACTTTCTACCCTAGCACTCTAATAGTTATTTGAAGAACCTTTGTAAATTTCAGCAATTTTAGACAGAGGCATTTAAACTTCTGAAGCACTGAGATCTTAAGGGATTTCTTTGCTCCCTGCGTTAGTCATGTTTTCTTTTATTTGGGGGATTTCAGCTCATGTACCGTGATGGTGAGACTAGCACTAATTTGGCAATAATATTGCTACTCAGAGGTTAGGAGTAGCATTATTACTGTAATAACTAAATACTGTATTCTATTTCAAAATACATATCAAAAACGTTTGTCTCTGTCATTTCCCCTGTTCTTTCTTTCTGAACAGTTATTTTTTGTTCTTCAATTTTGCCTTATGTAAGATGTGTTTGAAGAGAAAATTAGTAGGTAAATGCAGAAAATATAATTTATTCCTTGATATTAAAATATTTTCTTTAGAGAATGAAATAATAAAGAAGTTTGATTTAACACTGTACATCAAACATATTGCAGTTTTTGTGTTAATATCCACAGGTAAGAAAACAGTTACATACAGGAAAGTATGTAAGAATAAATCTTCAGGTATTGTGCAGAGCTTTGAAACAGAGCAGCCCACCTGTTCCATTCGGAAAATTGTACCTTGTGCTAAGCCATCAACAGCTACGTTGAGGTATTCTTCCAAACGATTTTAGACTTTTAAATGCTTGGATTTGATTCAGTTTTAATCAGATTATCTAGGATGCTTTGGTTATTCAGTCTGCTTACTGGTTTGATTAAAATACTGTACTTTTAAATTGATATGATTAGTCAGGTTCCAAATCCCTGACTGTCCAGGGTCGTCCTCCTGACGTGAAAGCGCTATACAAATGCAATTTGTTGTTTTTGTTGTTGTTGATGCTGTTCTATATAGTGGAACACACAGTTAGTATTTCAAGAAAGTAATATTAGAAGGAATACTTGTGTTGCTTGAATGGTCTTCTGGGTATTACAATTTACAACCATGATTGTTTTCTCATTTTTTCTTCCCAATGCAGCAGTACAACCAGTTCTGATGATTCTGAAGAAGAATTGCCCAAACTATCTTCGAGCAGCTCTAGTTCAGATACGACATCAAGTGAAAGTAGCAAATTATCTGATGTTTGTGAACTGATGGAAGTGGTTCCATGCCCGCCAAAGCAACCGATTTCACTTTGCAAAACTAAAGGCAAGCCTTCACAGAGCCGTAATATTTGCAGTACAGAATTAACATTTGAAAATAATTTGCAAGATACAGCATTGTATATGTTGACTTGGTTGATTTGCATAGATTGATTTGTACCTTTGACATTAGATTCTTGTAGAATATTTTTGCAAGTGTAACAGTTTCGCAAGTAGAAATTATGGGTTCTATAGCTAAGTTGATTAGCTGCATCTTGATATGTGCAAGTTGTTGTTGCATCTGTCAATTATTGTTTGTAATGGAATAGCTAACATTCAGGATTTCTTAGATTAAGGTACATGTTTAACTATCTGTTTTGTCATGGAATCTACTTTTTATTTATTCAAAACAAAATCAGACAGCATCTGAAACATGTCAAGTTTTGCCTGCCAGGAGTACATCATTCGTTGTCCATATTGTTTCAATGCCCATGAGTTTATTTAGCTCCTGATTTGCGAGATTAAATCAGGTCAGATTTGCCTATAGTCTGTAATTTCTGTGAAAATTACACTATGAAGAGGGTGGAAAACTGCAGTAAAAGCTGTGGTCAGCTACCATAGAATTGCTTGATTAGTCATTTACTTTACTAATCCATTGAGAGCTGGAAAGACCTGCTCATTGTCGTCTGACACTTAGGAGTAGCTAGAGACAATAGATGATTTCAACATTGGGGTTATCTGTAGAACCAGCATTCATTATCAGTGTGGCTTCACAATCTTTGGGAAGTAATAGGTGACTTATATTACAGAGATACTGATTGAAAGCCTGTTCTTTGGAAGCCACAGGCATCTTTTAGACATGTCTCTAACTTGTATTCACTACTAATGTTCTAGACTTTCAATAATTGAATATACATACTTATATACTCGTTATTATCATTCAGATTAGAAATAGCATCAATGCTGCAATTGTAGGTAACCTGTAGTATATATGCCTTATTGCAGCAATGGTGTTGTCAGAACCTGCCTTAGAAGGAACTGACTGCTGCCAGTGTGAATTTCAATGTGAAATATTCAAGCAATAAGAATTGCACGAGGATGAGAAAGCATTATCGTTATAGGTGTATCCTATATTTCTGAGTAGTAAACCTTGCATATGATCAAACCATAAATGATCCACATTTCTACATAATATCCTTGTATTTATTATAGCAACTTATCACGTCTTTGCCTCAAAGCGCTGCACAGTATATACTGTAAAGTATATTGACTCTATATTTTGTGGATGAAATGCGGACAGCAATGTCCCATAAACTCCCTTCTCTTTTCGAATAGTGCCATTTGATATTTAACATCCGTCTGAACAGGCAGATGGGACCTTGGTTTACCATCTCATCCGAAGGATGGCACCTCCAATAATGCAACACTCCCTCAGCACTGCACTGGAGTATCAGCTTAGACAATGTGATTTCAATTCCTGACTTGGGGCTTAAAACCACAACCTTCTGACTCAGATTCAAAGCTGATGCACATTTTAAGAAGGAATGCAATAACTTCACCAATAAGTAACAAAGCTGTTACTTATTATGTAGTTAAGCAGTTTCTGACACTCTTCGGACCTTCAATAGTCAAAACATTAATTTATAGTTTCTACATTAGATATAGAAATACAGCCTTAGACGCTACATTCACTCTTCAATCTGAACTGTTTTGGAACTCCTCTTTCAAACACCTTTCTCCCTTCTCAAGCTATTTCCTAGCTGCCAAGATTTACAGTTAGTGGAGTTTACCATCATGGTAACGGAATGAGCGTTTCATCACCACATCAAGCACATTTTGGTTGCTGTGAAGCAGACTGATAGCATTGGTGAAGAATTAAATAATAATAATCCTTGCATTTGATACAGAGCTTTGCACATTGGGAGGACATCTCAAAGTGCTCCATAGGATTTACTAAAGTCATCAGGTGAATGCTCAATCTGATTTGGGGGCAATATTTCAGAACACTAGTAGAAACTTTCTTCAATTTTCAAATAGTGGGATCTATAAAATCCACCTGAACAGGCAGATGTTACTTTGGTTTAATATCTCATTCGAAAGACAACACATCCAACAATATACTGCTCTCTCGCCATTATATTGGGCTGTCAGCCTCGACTAAAGAGAATTATATTAAAATAATTAGCCAAAGGGTTCACCTTAGCAAATGAGCTTGAAAAATTCTAAAATCATCGAGAATGGCAATTTAAAATACAGATGCCAACAACAACATCTTGCATTTATATAGCACCCTTCAAACAGTGTAGCGTCCTGGAGAGCTTCTGGTATACATTGATATTGATACACTGATATATGCACTGATATTGCAATATGCTTTGAGAATCTCACAGATTTTTTAATATATTTTCTAAATGTTTTTTTATTCATTTTGTTGTAGATGGCTCCACTGGAAGTGCTGGAAAAGAAGCTGGGATTTGTATGATTGAGCCAGCTGGTGGAATTTCTGCACTTCAAATGCTGAATCAAAAGAAAGCGTCTAGGGAGATGAAGGTACATTCAAATATAGTTTACAACATGTTAGTTTGGTAGCAATGTCTAAATTCTTCAAAGCATCATGATGAATGCATCCATCTCTGCATAGCTCAATCATTGTTTTAACCCCAGTTTGCTGAAGGTTTCTATTGGGGCCAAAGGAGAAACTGCATTTTCAGGGAGGAATTTGTAAGCTTCTCAAAGACTTACGTTAACCTGAATGACAACATGTCTTCAGCATTAGCAATACAGCTATTGAAACAGTTAAGATTCAAAACTGTTTGTTCGCTTTCTGCATACGTTATGTATATCTCCTTGTAGACGACTCTAGGACCTACCAAGCATTGAGTGCATATATGGGAATCATTACGGTGAACTCTTTGGTCCTACATGTTGTAGGAGTCCTGTAGCTCAGTGGTTAGAGCACTCGCTTTGCAAGTGAGAGACCTGAGTTCAATTCCAGGCAGGGTGAAACCTTGGGCAAGTTTCCTTACTCCACACACCTAATAATAATCCCTCCAAAACCAAAAACAATAATAAATTGGTCATTTTCAATCTATGACTGTTTGTGGGACATTGCTGTACACAATTGGCTGCCGCGTTCGCCCACAAATATACAGTCAATTCACTTTACAGTGTGTTCTGTGAAGCGCTTTGGGACGTCCTCCCGACGTGAAAAGCGCTATATCAAATGCAAGGATTATTATTATTATTAAGTACAGCCTGGATGTAACTGGTAATTAGGAAAAATGGCTACCTACCCTACACTTCTCAGAATAACCACTTATGCTTTAATGCTAGAGCCACTCTTATCCCCAAGGAACCACTTGGCTACACTGAGTTTGTGAATCCAAGTTATAAATGTGTACAAGGAACATAAGTGAATACCACGCTCAATACCTCTCCCATTTCAAATCATATCCTCTACTTCCATCCATTTAGCAGTTAGTTACTAATCCATATCTAGGAGTTATATTGTAAACTAGTTGTTTGGATTTTGCAATAGTTAATAATAATAATAATCTTGCATTTGATATAGGCTTTTTCACATCTTCTAGACATCTCAAAGCGCTTCACAGAATAGTCTGTAAAGTGAATTGACTATATTTGTGGGCAAAACGCGGCAGCCAATTGTGCACAGCAGTGTCCCACAAACAGTTGTGGATTGAAGTGACCAATTTTATTTTTGTTTTTTTGAAGGATTATTATCAGGCATGTGGAGTAAGGAAACATGCCCAAGGTTTCGCCCTGCCAGGAATCAAACCCAGGTCTCTTGCTTGTGAGGCGAGTGCTCTAATCGCTGAGCTACAGGATTCCTTGCACCAACTTAAAATATGTTACAATATATTAACTCATTTTCTTCTCTCTATAGGTGCTGTCTGACCTGCTGCTCGTTCCCAACAACTTCTGTTTTTATTTTAAATTTAAATACATAACTTTTTGGTTTTAAATTTTGTATTGTAACAGAATGCAAATGCCTCTCAAACGTGAATTCTCTTCGTGGATCTATTCAACAGTTGTGTGCATTGACCAAGTTACTTGGTATATGCAGTATTCATGTTGACATAGAATGGTACTGTATAATATATTGTATCTCTTTAATTGTCAACAGCTGTTTTGTCATGATGCTGTGTTGAATGTTGTTATAGTTGTCTTGAATTTTAAACTAAAATCTGTTTACAGTCCACGGAATATGAAAAGAATTTGGATTTGGATGATGATGATGTCTGGGATATCTCTTCTCTTTTGGAAGAGGACAAACATTTAACAGTAAAGGGTGAAAAAGATACCATGACTGCTAACAAAAATGATATCGTGATTGGATCTTCACAGAAGGTTCCAAACTGAGGTTAGTGTCCTTCCCTGCTGAAGAGGTTTATTTAATCTAGGTTTAACTTATCAATTGAATAACACAAGGAAATACACACCAGTGTGAAATTTCATCTTGGATGTTAATGAAATAGGAAACTTGTTGCATTCATCAGGGAGATTGGAACAGAAAGGTATGGGAGAAGGGTTTCAGCAGTGTGGAGGCTCATGTGGAGTATAAACACAGGCAACAACAAATTGCATTTATATCGCACCTTTCACGTCGGGAGGACGACCCATAGCGCTGGACTTGTTGGGCTGAATGACCCGCTTATGTGATGTAATATACTGTGTAATTGTATGTTCAAAAAAAATTAGAAACTCCTATTAAAAAATAATGTAACATCCAAATTTTTAATGCACATTTCATTACGGTAGCATGAAGTAATACATAAAACACAGGTCAGAGAGAAATTAAGCAAGCATAAATAGAGAGCATTTACAAGTTGCAAGGTTTATTGAAACAAGAATTTCCTTTGATCGCCCGACTGTCTCTTTCCTAAGTGCTGGAAAAAGTAATTATCTTTGTACATGCAAACAAAAAGCTTATCCTGTTGGTAAATATTCCTTGCTTGCTAAACTCTCTACAATATCCTCATTTAAAAACAAACACCATACCCCTTATTACAGAGCGACCCTGTATGAGCATGGAATCACTTAGAGTGCAGGTCTACAATGGACCCACACTATTCAGAAGTACAACTAGGGTCAGTCCAGAAATCTTCCTGATTTGCTGGGAGGTATGAGTAAATAGTTACGCTGATGTTAATGGTTCAAAGACAAAAATTACGATTTTACTGTCCTTTTAAAACGATCACCCTCAGCATTTATTTTCACCAAGTCAGCTGTAAGTTCTGTCGAAAGACAGATAGACCCAACAAGTTAAATAAGGGGTAATAATCCCTTTTAAAAAAAAATGCAAAAAGTAATCATAATTTGGTCACTCAATCCACGACTGTATGTGGGACACTGCTGTGCACAATTGTCTGCCTTGGTTTGTCCACAGAAAATACAGTCTCTACACTTTACAGTATATTCTGTGAAGCACTTTGAGACGTCTCAAAGACGTGATAAAACGCTAAATAAAATGCAAGGATTATTATTATTGCATCCAAATTCCGGTGCTCACTAGTCAGTTTCTCAACCAAAAAAATGGCCAATTTCCAGGTTGTTGGGTCACTGCTGATGACGCCTTGTGAAAAAAATTATATCAGTAGTGCTTCTTGCTCATAGAGAGCAATATACAATGCACAAAAAATGACAGTTGCGCTGCAGATTGTGAACTGGCTGACTGTGCCAATATGCAATGAAACCCATTATCACGCTTCACAATTGTAAGAGTTGGGATTTTATGGATCATAACATTATGAAGACTTTCTACTTTAAACTAGAAAGACCCTGTTTCAGAAATGGAACTCTAAATAAAACTCTGTAGCAACTGCTGATGGTATAATGCACCTAAAATTGTATTCCTTTTCCCTTTCTAATGACAGGGTTTGATGTTGTCGTTCATGACCAAAAGGCAACTGTAAAGGTCACTGTATGAAGCTGAAGTCACTGTCACAAGATGTAAACCACAGCTATAAAAATAGCTTAAATGTTCTGTGAAGATGGATAAAGAAAAGAATCAGTGCCATAAAATAAGTTCTTAACCTGTAGTTGGTACTCCGTTACCAGTTTTTCAGCTTTTACTAACCTTTAGTTTCAGAAGACAGTACATCTTTTTGATGTAGGTTTCAAGATTAAGCAAAACTTTTCTTATATCATAACTTTCAATACTGAATGTTTGCCATAGATGTTTTCATGTTTAAAAGTTCCATTGTATTGCATTGTTTATCTTGAATGATTTGTGTTGTACAAGTCAAATTGTGCCTAACACATTGTTTAATAATACCACACACAGAAAACACACACACTTACATAGTCTCACACACACAGAGCTGGGCTGAAACACACAGACACACACACACAAACACGCACTCAGTCATAAACACACATACAAAATCCATTGAGCCGGGCTGACAGACACACACAAACAAACACACACACACAAAATCACAGAGACACAAACACAGACACACACACTGAGCTGGGCCGACACACAGAGACACACACGCAGACACGTACACACACAAAGACATACACACACAGAGACACACACAGACGCACATACAGACACTTGTGGAGTCCTGTAGCTCAGTGGTTAAGAGTATTCACTTTGCATGCAAGAGACCTGGGTTCATTTCCCAGCAAGGTGAAACCTTGGGCAAGTTTCCCTACTCCACACGCTTGATAATAATCCCTCAAGAAAAAAAATAATAAATTGGTCACTTCAAACCACGACTGTTCGTGGGACACTGCTGTGTGCAATTCACTACCACATTTTGCCCACATAAAAAAATACAGTTAGTTCACTTTACAGTCTATTCTGTGAAGCGCTTTGAGACGTCTAGAAGACGTGAAAAGCGCTACATCAAATGCAAGGATTATTATTAGTGAGCATACTTAATTATATTCTGAGGTTCATGTTTCAAAAGACACATTACAAAAGACACGTTATTGTTGGTTTTCCACATTGTTCATTCATTGAATTTTGATTATTTTTTGTAAAAGATTTTGTTTTCAATTTCAAATAAAAATGTGTTTCAATGCCTTTTTACAAGCTAGTTTACTGGTACAGTACTTCTACAGTTCTTGTTAGACCTCTTGATGAAATTTTGTTCAGTGTGAAAATAGCTGTAGACCTATGTGGATTTTTTTAATGCAATATGATAGATGATTTTGTTTTTCTCTTTACTTCAGATAGAAAATTTCACATTTTTATAATGCACCGTTACACGGAAATGTTTCAATGCTGTTTATAGTAATTATTATCAATTCTAATGACTTTTTGTATGGAAATAAAGCCCAATTAATTTGAAGGATTTGCTGGCAAGGACACTGGGATAAACTCCCTTGTTTGCTCACATATTTTAGGGTCCACAGGCAGATGGAACCTCAGTTTAAAGTCTCAACTGAAGGCACCAACAAGCAGCATTTCTTCATCGTTACACTATAGTGTCAGCCTAGATTGAAAGTCCCAATACAGGGCCTGAACCAACAAACTTATAGCCCAGAGGCAAGTGTACTGCTGTATCAAAGGAGCCAAGTTGATACTTCTAGGTACAGCAAACTCCGAAGGTATTTGCATAAAAGGTACTACAGCAAAATACAACATGAGAAAAAATTCTTAAAGTAATTTTATTTATTTTGGAACATCTGTTACAGCATGATTGATTTCAAATTGTCTGCTATGCTAGATATTCAATGCAGCTGGTAAATATTTAATGCCTGTCTTTTAACTAGGTAATTGCATTCCTCAAATAACCAGCCAACATTCCTCCAAAGATTTAAACAAATTAGTTTTTCATTTAGCACTAAAATCATTAATCATAGCCAATACAGTAGTCAAAATCCATATAAATGACCATATAAAGTCTATATAAACAACATTCATAAACACTCTCGTATCTACAAAGGGTAGATAAGAGAGTGTCTATGGATGTCGTTCATATGGACTTTTAGAAGGCATTTGATAAGGGTCTGCACAAAAGATAATTAGCGAAAATGGAAGAGTCAGAGGTAATCGTTGATTTGGGAATTACAGCAAAAAATAAATGAAAAATTCACATCCTGTGAACAAAAGCAAATTTGTCAATAAACTGAATTTGATTAAAGCAGTCTTATCTATATATATATATGGTTTGAGTGTGATCATTTTCTTAAACATATACATTCTTATCAAATTGTTTTGGTGGGATTGCTGTGCTCTTTGCGGACCTCACATCTCCTGCATCCTTGTATGCCTTTGTCCGTGAAGAAAAGACTGATGCTGCAGTTCCATAACCCAACCTGAAAGAAAAATATTCTTATATAAAATAATCATGTAGCAAATTGGTTCGAGCACTAGCCTCGCAAGCGACAGGACTTGGGTTCAATTCCCAGTCAGCGCGCAACCTTAGGCAAGTTGCCTTTTTCCACACACCTTTGTTTACCTAGCATTAAGCAGGATCCCAATTGTTATTGAATTGGCGGATCACTTCTCGGGGGTAATAATCCCTTAACAAAAAAATCACTCAAGACTATTTGTGGGACACAGATGTGTGCAAATGTCTGCCGTGTTTGGCCCACAAATCAAATGTGGGCTAAAGCATTTGCTTTATCAAATGCAAGGATTATTATCCGTTATAAATTTACTTTGGCTGATGATGTGTAATCATTACTATTTAGTAATGCCCCCAATTAAATGTATTGCTCAGCATTCCATTTCAAATTATTCATTTGTAAAAAGCTTATTTTCTTGTAGAAATCAGGATCCTAAGTTCTTGTACAGATATGAAAAGGAGATTGAAAGCATTAATGTTTTAGAGGACATCATGGATCTTTTGTCCTATGATCTGCCTTGTCTATAACTGTTGTACTTACTGGGGTATCACTATTCATTTGTTTCATGCCTTCTTTGTTGTAGCTTTACTTATTTGTCAATATTAGGATAAGTTCTTCCATGGCTATCCACAGCAGCTTCCTAATATTGCGTAACTTCCTAATATAGAGCAACTTCTGAATAGATGCCTCTTGCTTCCTCTTAGCTTTAAATGCTGGGGTCTCTCTTAGCTGATCAATAAAATAACTTTTCACCACATCCTTTCTAATGGAAAATCCCATTCCAGTAGTTTGAAGAATTAGGAAGTCGAAAGCTTTTCTTTAGCTTGTGCTTAAGGTTTTAATAAAAATAACCATGGTCTCTGTCTAAATGTCATTCCTAAAGTTTTCTTAACATTTACTGAAAGAATGATTGGCACTTCCATCCTTTCTTTCTACCAATATATGAAATCCTCAATTCCTCAAGCTCTTTACTTAACAACTATTAAACTTAAGATGGTATCAGACAAAATATTTGTATTTTATTTTTAGTCAGAAAATACATTATAAAATCATATTTGGTCCTAATATTAGATAATAGCCTGTTGAGAAAAGATATATAATTCTATCCCTTTGTTCATAAAATAAGGATTATTGTGATGTGAGTTTTCTAAATTAATACTATGCAAGTGATGTTTATTTAAAAACAACAAGATTACATTTGTATAGAGCCTTTCATATCAGGAGGGTGTCCCAAGGCGCTGGACAATGTACAGAATTTCAGACCCGAGCTGGGTTGGGGGGGAGAAGGGAGGGGAGTGGAAGGGGGGTGGCCGATGGCATGGTCGAAGAGGACGATTTTGAGGCAGGACTTGAAGGAGGCTAAAGAGGGGGCGAGGAGGAGTGATTGGGGGATGGAATTCCAGAGGTTGGGGGCAGAGTGGCTGAAGGCTCTCCTGCCAATGGTGGAGCGGGCAGGTTGGTAGGGGGTTAAGAGGTCACAGAGGTAGGGTGGGGCGAGGCCATGGAGGACTTAGTAGGTGAGGACCAGGATCTTGAGCTGGATCTTCTGAAGGACAGGGAGCCAATGGAGTTGGGCGAGAATGGGGGTGCTGGGGTCACGGTATTAACTTGTACAATTATATATTAACTTATACAATTCAAAATATTTGGGCGTGTGGGTGGGGTTACAATCCTTTTATATTGAACAGACTATTTTGGCAAATTTGTAAATTCCTTAAAATGTAATATTGAATTTTCTTTCAAGCAAAACAAACAACCTATAATTCCCACTTTATAGTTGGATATGTTAGACTGGTGCATGTTTTTATATAGTACCTCATACCACTGCTGCTTTGGTGGATTATGTGATATGTTGAGATTTTTTTTCACCAATTTTATAAACCAATTTACTGTTTGCAATTTGTTCATTGTTAGTTATTTACTGCTGCTTAAATAATATTGTGAGAATAATAATCGTTTCAATTTCAGTTGCATTACAGAATATAATGCTAGTTTCATTATATGCTTTAACTACAAATTAAGTAATACTAACTTTTAATTTTATCTTGTGCATATGGTCAACTTCCCGCTATCTCTTCTCCCTTGCTTGGCATCTGACCACGCACGTATTGAGGTGAAGCACTCACAATATTATCCTACTCCAAGGGTGCTGTATAATTGCAATTTGTTTTTGTTACTTATGTAATTCTGGAAACTATTAAGTACATATTTGTGAGATCCAAGTCTTAGTGACCCAAGTGTGCATTGGAGTACTGTTGAGGTTTAAACACCTGAAACTATGTACAGATTTACTGTGTAATATAATGTCAATTGAATATTACAATTTCTATGAGTGATTTTGTAGAATGTTCATCAAATCCCTAAAGATGCAGATGTGATAAATGCAAGGACTGTTATTATTATAAATGCATCTCATTTTTTCCACCCTATGTAATATTTCATTAAGCACATTTTATCTTACCTTGGAGGCTGTTTAGGCTCTGACAGAGAAAAACAAAATATTGCTCCTCCTAATATAGAAAGTGAAGATCCAGCCCAGCCAATAAATAAGGCAGCTCCTAATTCATATCTGCAGAGGCAACATAAACATCCTTCAATTTTTTTCAGAAACTTATTTAATGTTTACTACCTGCATCAATTCCTGCACTCCGAGACACCACCCTGCGTGATGTGCATTATATAAAGTTGTTATAAATCCTATTTCAATAGATTCTGTTTATTATCACAATCTGAAATCTGTAATGTTTTTAAATCATTTTGCAATTGACATGAAAAATATGCATGTATCCAAAAATGCACAAATGTATGTACTTAATTAACTTTACTCAATTTGTCTATCATTACATTTAATCGCATTAAAGACAGCTGGTACAACGGTGAAAACTTACTTTTGTTCTATATACAAGGGATCAAAGAATTCTGCAGTAATTCGATTTGCATACCATGAATAAGCAATTACAGAAGACAGCCCTGTGGAAAACAGGCTCATATTAGTACAAGTTTAATACTGTAGTACACATCTGTAAATCACTTTAACCTAATGGTGCAGGAGTCTTAGTTGTAGTTACAATGTAGTCAATATTGTTAATGTTAAAAAATATAAAACAGAGTATCTGCATATCCAATATGGTTAGAGCACTCGCCTTGCAAGTGAGACACCTGGGTTCAATTCCAGGCAGGGCGAAACCTTGGGCAAGTTTCCTTACTCCACACACCTAATAATAATCCCTCCAAAAAACAAAAACAAAAATAAATTGGTCATTTTCAATCCATGACTGTTTGTGGGACATTGCTGTGCGCAATTGGCTGCTGCGTTTCGCCCACAAATATACAGTCAATTCACTTTACAGCATATTCTGTGAAGCCCTTTGAGATGTCTAGAAGACGTGAAGAGTGCTATATCAAATGCAAGGATGATTATTATTATATTCGAAACCACAAGTTACATACTTGCATATCTGTTGGTTTGAATTCTTCTGAAATGATCAAAGTAAAACAATTTTATATTCTATATGTGCTTGCCTAAACCACATCTATCTGCACATCACCTCAAAGAGCTGGTGTGCTATTCTTATTCTTGTTTGACTCCTAACTATCCTTCAAAACTTACATCCAGGCTCTCACTTGCTCTGCTTTCCCTCATCTCCGCAGGATTGCCGTCCTCCACACCTTCATCATCTCCAGGAGTGAATACTCCAATGGCTTGATCACTGGCCTCTGAAGTTTCTGCCTACACAAGCTGTGGACTATCCAGAACTGCTGCCTGCATCCTCTCCTGCACAAGGCTCCATGAGTCCATCCACCCCCGTTCTCGCTAGACTCCCCGTACCCCAGCTGATCAAATTCAAGATTCTTATCCTCACTTTAAATGCCTTGCCCCACCCTACCTCCGCGACTTCAACCACCCTCTGTGGCTGTTGTATAATTGCCATACACAACATTTTTGAAGGAAAACCTTTAGCACTTGGCGCAGTATTTTTGTCATTATGAATCCCAACTATGCAGACACACGGTTAATATAACTTACTTTTAGGTCTGATGGCACACAATTTGAAGAACTTGGGGAGAAGACTTAAACAATAATGGATAATAGGTATGTCAATGGGCTCAAATCCATGCTGGAGCTCAATTGCTCCAGGTGGCAGAGGTAAGTGGAGGCATCTCTTTAAGTGTTCCACAGCTCTGTTGTGTGATATAATTCATAGCTATGAATGGTTATGAATAAGATGTTATGCTCATATAGTATATTGGAGCCTAAGGACATGGAGATCAATCTATAATGTTAAACCTATGCATAGTATTGTAAGGCTAGCAGCTTGGGATCTGTTGTTTATTCTGCAAAATACATGAATAGCCTGGTTGCCTCGTGTTTTAAATAAACTTTCTGTTTGAAATACAGATTACATACTGACCAAACCATGCTGAGGCTAGTGTATACTTGGAGAACTCCGATTACAAAATTGTGCTCTCCTTACCAGAAAGGATGTACGATATTCCCCCACAAAAGGTGATTTTTCCATTTGTCCTTTCTGTACCTCCAACTTTTGTGCACTTCATCCCCACCAGTACAATTATGGAACCAAAAAAACCCAGGCAAACAGCAGCAATCATGAGACCTCGGCAGACCTGGATATAAGCTGATGAGAAAGAAAGGCAGCATGAACACATTCTGAGCATTTAGTCAAATATTGACATCCTTTTTCATAGTTAGCAATCAGGATTTATATCAATATGAATATAATGTACAAATGCTTCGGAAGATTCTCCAGACATTGATAAATGTATAGATCTTGGCAGATAAGACATCTGATTCTCCTCTGGTCTAATTGTAAGGCCCTCAACAGCAAGAGTTTACAATGGGGTATCTGGACAACCAAGGAAACAACAACAACAACAACTTGGATTTATATAGCGCCCTCCACGCCAGACGGTGTCTCAGAGCGCTTCAAACAGCACTTTACCTTTAAAGAATGATACAAACTAATTATTGCACAAATCAGAATGTTCATAAGTACAATCCTGCATGAGGCACACAATGCATTGCTACCAAAATAAATTAATATTGAGCGCATACAAAAAATCAGTCATGTGATGTTTTCTTTAGTCATAAGATATCCTGACTTAGGACTGGATATGAATATGTAGCAAACATAGGGCACATTGAGAATGTCTGCAAACAATATTTAGCACATGTAAAAAATGTTGGGAAATCCGTGTAAATCCCCTAACAGAGGAGAATCAGATGTCTTATCTGCCAAGATCTATACATTTATCAATGTCTGGAGAATCTTCTGAAGCATTTGTACATAATCAATATATTTATAATTTTAAATTTAAACTGCATGATAGATGCCATTAGTTTGCCAATGATCTTCCCTCAAAATGTTTGTTGAATTGAATAGCTGCTGTTTCTACCACTTTCCAAAGCTGCTGTATCTACCATTCCTCATGCTGAACAGATCTCCCATCCTTGAAGATAATGAAAGTTTACTCTTGTCCCGACCCAAAGATAAAGAAGTGTCCAAATAATTTGTGAAGATATAATGATAAGGTGTCGTTAATTGAAATATTACACATAACAGGAGGCCAACAAAATATTAAAAAATTTAAATTCTGTATCCAATTTATGTATACGTTTAAAGATTTCCATTATACAATAGACAATGTATATTATGGAATATTCAAGTGAAGTAACAGACTGCAAAGTCTAATTTGTGCTATTTCTCAATAAAATTCCTTAATAAAGAAAACCCATAATTTATTCCCGCTGACTATGGGAACACTTCTGGAGCGTTTTGGTTACCAAAAGAAGCTCCCACTTCATCAACTTGGATTCCTTACTAAGGATCACGTCAAAAATTACCAATGTAACTTTAAACAATTAGAGGTAGTTTTGTAATCAAATGGAAACTTACAAAAATATTGAAGATTATGAGTCAAGTTCTTGTTCCACAAGGTGGAATAATTGAGCCACCATTAGTTGTGCCCATGGCAATTTTTATTCCTTGGCCACATCTTACACACTGAGTCTTTTGTTACTGACCTTAAAAGTTTTGCCTGGCCTTTTGAACTAAGTTATTCATGTGGTTTCTACGGTGTTCAGGAATACTTGGAACTCTAAATGCTTTGTTGATTGTTTTGCTTATACTACAATGCACTTAACTCTTTGATGGTTTTCAATGATAGGTGTCTGCATTTACACACCTAGAAATTAATCTATCAACATGATAACCAATTTAACTCATACCTTAACTTATAGCTTAACAATTAACTAGTATTTTAACTTGTTCCTTACAACTTTCAAATAATAAATTGGGAAGATTATTTAAATAAATCAAAAGGCTTTGTTTACTTCTGATAATAAAACAGGACCTATGTGTTCAAAATAAATTATTTTCTCATTTTTTTCTCAATTTGTCAAAATGCTGTGCAAGACAACAACAACAAGATTCCATTTATTGAGCGCCTTTCACGTCGGGAGGACGTCCCAAGGCGCTGTACAGTTGGATCAGGACCCGAGCAAGGGGGAAATGGTCAGGGTGAGGGGAGGGAAGGGAGGGAGCGAGGAGGGGGTAGAGAGTCGAGAGGGGAGCTGAAAGCACGGTCAAAGAGAAAAAAAAGACATCGAAACCTACAATTTTAAAAAGAATAGGCACACAAAATAGGATAAATAGACATGAATCCACATAGAAGCTTCACTAGTCTGTGAGCTAGTACCATAAATTTAAGATAATTATCAAGAAAAATTCAAAAGACTTGGAGATTTGTTAGAACTTAAAACACGGTTAAAACAGTCCTACAGTAACTTTTAAAAGGAATTAGACATATTTGAAAAGGAAAAAGATAAAGCTAATTGGAAAAAGGCAATGGAATGAGACCAAATGGATACCTTTATACAGAGCTAGCACAGCCAAGGTAGGTCAAATTACCTCCTTTGATAAAAACTATCTTTTATTCTAGAAGAATATTTAACAGACACAGGGAGTACTTAAAGATTATTTATATCATTGTCATGAGCCTTCACAAGCAAACTAGATTATTTCTGGAGATGAGGTGTACCAGGCAAAATGTGTCATACTGATTAATAACCGCATGACAAATCCAGAACATGTGGGGAAACATAAATAAGGCAGAAACAGAGCAGGGCTGCAAGAATGTAGCAATAGTACTGTGAATATAGTGGTTGCATTCCTTCTTTTGTGTTTTTTCTTCTTGTTGGAAATTTACAGAAATAAAAAGTATATCATTGTAAAATCAGTCGTGCATTCACTGTGAATAAAGCTCAAGTGCAGATTGCATGAATAAACGATCCCCTGAGTCTACAAAGTGTGTGCTTGCTCTTTACTCACAACTCAAGAACCAATGTCAACATTATATAAGCTTCATTAGTTCAGTTTCCAGATACTGAAATTCCATGAAAAATCCTAATATTTGAAAATTATTGCCAATTTTATTGTTTTCCATTTGTTATTAAAGAATGAATGTTTGCAAAGTGCCTTATGAGTAATATGTATGCAAAAATCTTTTTCACCCCTTTACAAAAGTTGCTCAAGGCAGATCACAGAGATTTAAGCTTTGGTTTGAAACATTCAATTGGCAAAATTTGGAATCAAACACTATTGAAGTCCTTTGGAAACATGGATACTCAAGAATAGAAAAGTCCTTTCACCTACAATTTACCACGTACACTTGCTATTCTATCAAATATTGTACTCGAATTATGATGATATAGTAGGAAATTTAGTAGACAATAAAATAATTCAGTTTTTTATTCAATCAATTTTAGACAAAAATGAATTTAGGAATAACATACAAAAGTATATGCATTACACAAAATATACCCTTTTAGGGTTTTTGTTGCCTTGTTCTGAAGCATGACCCAGACTCTTTTCTCAGAATAATATATGTGCTCTCACTGTATGTACACAGTCACCGAGCTGTTAAAATACCTTGGTATCTATTTCAATACGCAAACTTTATCTCAGTTATTTGTATATACTGCTTCATAAATTTTGAACCATTCATTTCGATAAAGGATAATACCTAAATGCTCTATGAATATAAGAAAATAAGTAGATCTCCAGATCACTTAAATGAAGTAGTAGCATATTCAAGCATTTTCAGAGTACCATACATTATAATTGAGTAACCTGGAAACAGAAGGTTCAGTTTCATCTGAAATGAAATTCTTTCAGCAGAAGTTTGAATCTAATAAAGGAATACGGAAATGAGCAATATCAGTTTAGTACTGCTCTTTGTATGGAAGTATATATATATTGTTGGGGAAAGAGAAAGCGAACTGCGACAGCGAACAATTTTCAAAGAATAGCATATCTGAATCTTGATTTAATACTTTTCTATGATTCGCTTTTGGAGAGATATAATAAAGTGTAAGAGAAAGAACAGGGAATTGCCATTCGAGTATATAGCTTCTGTGGAGCAGCTAGCACTAGCATAAGATCAATGGACTAAATGGTCTCCTTTTGCACAGTAATTTCAATGATATAAGGCTTCCAAATGTAATCAAGTCAATGGTATACTCCAACTTATGTTTGTTGGGAAGAATACAGACTGTAAAACAGAAATTCATGCAACTGTAAACATCTTATAGAGTGAAGCCAATTTTACTAGATGTTTAACTACTTTCACTGTTAGGGGAAAACTTGTACTTTATTAGCAGGAATACTGTCATTCATAGGGGGGTAAGGCTTCCCTCTGATAATCAATTATTTCAGCTGAGGCAAATATTGTCTTCAATTACATAGTGGTATTAAGTCAGGAAATGCTACCAATGCCAATATGATTCACTATGGGGACTTTTTTCACAGGGATAGAAAGGACAAGAGATACTTGTGTTGATTTAGTGCATCCTGGACTTGTTGCAATGTAACAGTCAGTACTGGGCAGTCAACAGAGATGGGGTAACAAATTAAAAAAGATCCCATACAATCTTTCTGATCTTTTTGCTATACAGATGTAATTTGTTGTTTGTAGTTGTTTTATTAAGACATCAGGTATCTAGCTGAAATTTGCTCCTCCTCAACAATTCAGAGAAGTCTAATTTTGCAACAATAGGAGGAAGTAGTTCAAAATTATCAAAGTGATGCCAAACTATTATTTCATTTCTCTCCAATGAATCTTCTTGACTTCTGGGTAACTTTAAGTTACGCTTTCAGTTGGTTGGAATTCTATTGGTATTGCAAGTCTTTAAGGACTTTAGCAATAAAATTACTTTAGCAATAAAAATACAAAGCGTTGGGGTGTAGTTGTGTCTGGCATCGCAAGGTCACAATAAAGTAGCTCTTATCTGCTTTTCTTACTATCCATTACTTTCTTTCATATAATTTGGATGATAGCATTTCATGAAGACAGATCATCCTTTTCTGATCTGGCAAAAACATCTCAAAAATTCAGAATGATACTGGATTGGAATTTTAGGAATTTGTGACTGAGATATCAAGTATTACACTCAGAGTTTGGATAAAAATAGTAATTACCTGTCATGGAGGCCATGTGCAAACTATAAACTTTACCAAGTATTTGAAGAGAAAGACCAGTAATAGCAAATAAAGGAAAGGATAGTTACCCTATGAACCCAATGGAATTCAAGGCTACACATTAAGTATCAACAATGTTC